AAAATCCTGATCAACAAAATGAAAATTCAAATAGTCAATCAACTGAGCTACAAAGATTCGTCTCCACGTCCCTGTCTTCACTTGAAGATATATGAAAGTAATTAAATCACAAGAATAATTTTATTTCTTTTTTTTTTAAAGAAAAAAAAAATCAAACTACCGACAAAAAAATTAGATGTCATTATCTCTAGGTGACAAGGTTTGTCATTAATAAATAAACCAATGGGCAACATGTTTTGCTTTACCTTTGAGCCACAAAATGGCACTAAATTTAAACATTTGGACCCAATTTCAAGAATTAATACTAGTACTAGTATTTTGATTGAAGTCCTAATGAAATGTCACTATTTTGTGTTCTTTCATTTTCACTCATTATTCAATCATATAATAGTATATGATAACAATTAGGAGTTGTCAAAGAATATTGTGTGATGAAATAGACCAAAAAGAAATTATATAGATTCGTCTAGGTATTTTCAACCAATGAGTTTTTTCATTCATTTTCCTCGATGCTTTCATATAGATTTATTCAAATCGTTTCAATGAATTTCAATCATGTCAATTAACATTAATGTGATATCTAACGAATTAAGCTTCTCATTCACTTTTCAAGTCGACTTTAACTATGAATTTTCACTTGGAGTTGAAGTTGACTTGGAAAATGTCATTGCTTATGTATATTGTGTATATTACTCCATACCACACGCCTATTTGGACATATATCTACAAATATACATGATATAACGGATATACAAATTTCCCTTTTGAAGAATTGTAAATGAGATTTTATCTCATACAAAGTAGCATATCCTCAAGAATTCCAAGAATTAGTAAACATGGGACCAAACTCGTATAATTTTACTAATAAAATACACAGTTTAATAACAAGGAAAGACCCGAATAGTGGATTGGTAGATATATATATACTTTATTGAAATAAGTGGTCGGATTTCCCTTTTGAGAATTGTATATGCGATTTTAACTTTTTTTTTAAAAACACCAAAATATTAGTTGCAACAAATGTAGAATAAAATTTTTAAAATTTATCCATTTCTGATTCCACATTTATGGCGATAATATTAAAATTTCAATTTGGCACAGTTATCTTAATTACTTTTATTTTGATAATTATGAGCTTCTTGAATTCTCTTTTTGCCTATTTCTTTCAAATTTTGGACCACTTGGACAATTACTATTGAATTTGGATTGAAAATTTGGAGTTAAGTTTAGAATTTTATGTATTTACACTATAGATCATGCAATTATGTTCATAGTGTTCTCAATTGTACTTTATAATTTATTCATAGAGTTTTACATGTTTAAAATGCCAATGAACTTTAATTTATGCAATGTTTCCAAAGTCATGAAAGATTATTTTATGTCATGTACAATTTATCATGAGTTTAAACATTAATAATTAGCTCGATGAGAGTTTAATACATCATGAGTAATTACATGCTCATTCAAAATTTGATCGTGATACCATTATATAGGAACATTTTTCATTTTTTATAGGATTATTTATGTTTTTATGTGTGTACTCAAAACCATTATATATACTTTCATTTGAAAAAATAATCATATAAATTGCATGAATAACTTTAAGGGGAACATCCAATTATAACCTTAGACTTAGCCTTATAAGTTGCAACACATTTTCAAAAGGACTTATAGTTACCTCACAAAGTGGATATCTTTATTATGAGATCAAATCTTTTTTCAGAAAAAAAAATCTGATTTTTATTCCCTTTGTTTCACATTTAGGGTGTGTTTGGTACCTACGAAAATATTTTTCTTCAAAAATAATGTTTAGAAAAATAAGTGAGTTTATTATTTACTTTTTTATGTATGGTACATAAGCAAATAATATTATCCTAAAAGCATTCATATATAATTTACACAAATATCATGGAAGGTGGGGTGGGGTGATAGGAATAAGAGAGAAGATGAAGTGTGCATATGTCGGAGGATGGAAAGAACACAATCAACATGAAATTCAACTTCAACTTGTTACAATTTCTGAAATTCACAAGTTGAATTCCGAGTTTTTTTTTTAAATTCGAAAAAACCTTAAATACTTATTTTCACATTTTTCATTCATATTCTCTTACAAAAATTTAATATTTTTCGAAGAGTATTTATATCCAACACAACTTTTAGATTCCAGAAAGGTGAAAAAGGAAAAGGGATGTCAAGAATTGACAATTTAAGAAGATGTTGTAATATAGTGATAAGATTTTAACAAAAATAATTGCAAGGAATATATAGAGGGGCATATTTTCTCATTGACACATATTTTTGACTTACTTTATCGTATCATATCATATCATATCATGTGTTTCATAATCTTTTGAGTTTTGTAATGCATATTTCTATTGGCTTGTTCTTCATTATTACTCCATATGTCTCAATTTATGTAATATAATTTAAATTTTGAGAATCAGATAGTTTAATTTTAATTGTGAATTCAAATATGAAACATTCAAATTTTTTAAACAATAATAATAATATATATATAAAAGAAAAAAAAATTACGATCAAAGACATACTTGTTTGAATTCGAAATTTAAAAGATGTCATATAAATTGAGACGTACAAACCAGTTAACAGTAAAAATGATAGGTTATGTAAGAATCACTCCATTTTTATCTTCGAGAAAGGCCTTTGCTACATACCGATTTATCCTCTGCCCCAAAAAGGTGAAACTTTTATAAGCTTAGATTAATCAGGATTCAAAATTAATATCGAACATCGAGTAAAATAAATTAATTGTTCCCCTAAGTTTTAATACATGGAAAGGGGCAACAATTGGATGAGATATATAAAAGTCCATTTCTTTGCATTATATTCTATTATTCGAATGCCTTTGTGGTGACTATGAAAAGTTCTTATCAAAATTGTAAAGAATAAGTAACATAAATCCTTCTCAAAATATTCCCCTATTCTACTTGAGGATTTGAAACACTATCCAAGAATGAATGATGCAAAGTGATCCTTTCCTAACAAGCAAAAATGAAATATTCTCAAAAAAGACGACCATATATGAAGGGGAGTCTTCGAGCAACAAATTAAAAGGTTGTCTTCAATTCGTACGAGCTATAGGATTACAGGTATAAGCCACGAAATCAGTTATTAATATTTGTATTGAAATAGACTATCTATAACAGTGTTGCTCTTTTCTGGATTTTACGTGATCACAAGATGCTTGTGTTGCCCATTTAAATAAAAGAAGAAGAAAAGTTAGAACATTTTCCTTAATCATACCAACAAAACATGACTTAAAGTAGTAAATTTCCTTTCTTTATTAGGTCCTTTTATTTGACTTTGGTTTAGGTATAGGATCCTTATTATAATAAGACTAGCAAAAGGCCCCAATAAATTGTAGACATATTGAATCTTTCTAAAGACTTTAAGAAGTGAACCTCATAGAAAATTCCCTACATATATTCTTTATTATCATTGCCCACTTAAAAAATTGTATTTATCCTGGAGAAAAAAAAAAAAATTTCCTTCCATTAATAAAATTATTTAGCAAATTTCTTGATCGGTCGCTCAAGAGACTGACGTTTGTTCTCTTCCTCTGTGCATCTCAGTGATGGACTCATCATAAGCTTTTTGTATCCTCCTCTTACCGGGATATCTATTATATCAAAATTATTTTTTTTGAGTCCACTAAAAGCCCACTTATGACACGTTTAACCCGTTCAAAGGCCTTTTATAAGACTTGGACTAAAATCCTCGACATTGTACAACATGGAGGTCTTACGTTTGCTAAACCAAGAAGAGGGATGTGCCTGCTTCTGATACCACATAAAGAAAATAGACCTTAAATGTTATTTAACCTAAAAAATAGCTCATAAATTAAGAATCGTCTAAGATTAAGTACGGAGACACAACACCTTCTATTTAGTTGATCAATGTGGAACACTTTAACAACTCAATATGGGAAGACAAAATGTTTAGCCTAGTAGAAATAGCTACTTATTTTGAACCCAAGGAAAAAAAAAACATTTTTTTAAAAGTTGCCCAAAATAAAAAAAGTTAATTTTTCATTCAATGTTGGGTATTTGTCTTGGGGCTCGAGTAATCTAAGATTCGTTTCGAAAGGTCTCTTCTTTAGGGTAAAGCAAATACATTTTTTCCCAAAGATTGTGTTGTGAAGCTTGTTTAACCAAAAATGCAACTCAGTATCTTTCGGTAGAGTATATCAGTAAAATTAATGCATGCATTTGCTCTATGATTAATAATACTTTGTTTGGTACATAGTTTATGCTATGTATATATTTTATTGTGTATTTAGGTGTAATGTTATGTATAACATGATAAAGACCAATTGCCCTCAAACCCCTTTTTAAATCTCTTCTATCACAAATGTAGAGAATATCTTTGTAAATAAATATTTTTATATGCACACTGCTTTTAATATATCAAATCAAATAATGCAAAAAAAAGTATGTAATACAAGCATAACTAGTACACTCTATTTAACATTATTTTTATACACTACCAAACGATAACATGTTCTAGTTTCTATCCTAATGAATCACCTAGGTTCAAGAAATCAACTAACAACCAAAAAAAAAAGGCGACAAAGAACCTATTGTATTTGGAAACTTATTAGTTCAAATTTACTATTTGTTGCCATTTTAATAAATTTTCCCAAATAAAAAGTATCGAATTCAGATAAATTCAATTTCTGCATGCTACATCCACCACCAATCAATATATATACAAGACAGATCAAAACTATAATTTGATAATGTATATAAGTTCATGTCATCATTTAAGCCACCAATTTGTTAAGCCGCCCTTGACAGTTTACCCACAACTATGGAGAGCCTTTCATAAAAGTTCAAAAAGTCAATTCTTTGAGTAGAATCTATTGAAGGACTTGGGACTTAGACTCCGACCTGGAACCCGACTCCCAACTTCCTGAAACCTAACTCCCGACTCGAGACCCGGTGAGCACTAACATGATGTCATTTAGATTTTGCCTATTTTCACCAGTAGTCATTACAAGAACAATAGCCATTCCTAAAATGATGAAACCTGTTCCTATCCCTCATTATTATCTCTCTTTTATAGACATTTGATATGAACTTCATGAATGTATGACAATCATCACATGTCCTGAGATTCTTCACAACCCGAATTATCCTTCCGGGTTGCATCGTCATAAGTCCAAACGCAACAGCAATTCTCTCACTGTGATATCGAACCACACTCTCCTTCTCTTCATCCTCAACGTCATGTAGCACCGAAGTTGTATCTGGTTCATATCCATGAGCCTGTACTTCCTTCACAATCTTATCCAAGAACACGTTAATTTGAGTATGTGAAGTATCTCCAGCTACAAATTCATATACAATGTTTTCAACCTCGATTGAACTGCATCCAGGCGTTTTGCGCACACCCCTCTTGATCATTAACTTCCTACATTGATCAACTTCAGTCCATCGGTTTAAAGATGCATAGAGGTTGGACAAGAAGACGTAGTTTCCTCCATCGTGTGGATCCAATCTTAGAAGATTATCGGTCACTTGCTCCCCTAGCTTTGCATCCTTATGTTTGTGACAAGCTCGGAGCAGGCCACCCCAGACAACTGCATTGGGCTTCATTGGCATGCTCTTTATAAGTTCAAGTGCTTCTTTAAGGCATCCTGATCGACCTAAAAGGTCGATCATGCAGCCATAATGTTCAATTCCGGGCTCAATGCCATAAACGATCTTCATCTCTGAAAAATAGCTTCTCCCAACGGAAACCAATCCAGAATGGCTACACGAACATAGAAGCCCTACGAAAGTCACACCGTCTGGTTTTATCCCTTCTCTCTCCATTGCAATGAAAGCATCTACAGCTTCCTTCCCATACCCATGCATTCCTAGCCCAATAATGACAGAATTCCAGCAAAAGATGTTTCTATCATGCAAGCCATGGAAGACTTGTATAGCAGCTTCTACATTCCCACATTTGAAGTACATATCTATAAGCGCGTTTCCCAAGACAAAATCGATCTTGATATTCTTTGTTCTAATAAAACCATGAATCCATTCACCCATATCTAATGCTCCTAAATGAGCACAAGCAGAAAGCAAGCTAACCATTGTCACCTCAGTTGGTTTTACTTCTTCGCTTAGCATACGTTGAAACAAATTTATGGCTCTAACAAATTCGCCACATTGTACATATCCTGCAATTATCGTGTTCCAAGTCACAACGTTTTTCATGAACCCCATCTCGCCAAACAATTCATCCGCCTTGACCATTTGCTCCGACTTACAATATCCATCAATCATTGCATTCCATGAGACCACATCTTTGATTGGATTTCGATCAAAGATCAATCGAGCATTATGAACTTCACTTGATTTGCAGTAGCACGTAATTAACGAATTCCAAGAAGCCGAATTCCTATCAGACATATTTTCAAACAGCTGTTTCGCCTCCTCAACACAACCATACCTACTGAAAGCTGAAATCATAGCATTAGTAGCAATAACATCTCTCTCAGGCATTTCCACAAACACTTTCCTTGCAGAGCCTAAATCCCCAACTTTTCCATAAAAATCAAGCAACCCAGTTAGCAAAATTACATCATATTCAAAACCCATTTTCACAATCTGGGAATGAAACGATTTCCCTAAATGGGTTCCATTTCGATTAGCACAAGAACGTAAAATCAAAGAAAAGGTGACTCTGTTTGGAAAGAAGTTGGTGTCACAACTCCTGATCAACCCTTTGAACAAATCCAAAAATTCTTTGAAATTTTCATGTTGTAAGGAAACACGAATCATTGAATTCAATAATGAAGATGGATTATTGTGTCTGGGAAAATGTTGCAAAACATGTTGTTTTAATTGTTTTAAGGAAAATATCTTTTTGGGTGGTAAATACAGAGAATTCATGAACATGAACAAAAACAACTCTCAATTTCTACGTAGAATGTATCAAAATATACTTTAATCTTATTACATATAGCCTGTAAAATATTGAAATTAAAACAGAGGGAGCACAACACGATTGGTTTCTAAGATCACTTCTCAGAACCAAAATGACTAGTTTCATTTCCAACAGAATCAAAACTAATACTCATCTATATTTCCAACAATCTGAATTCTTTCTGTTTGTTTTCGTTTCCCATCTGTTTTGTACTGAAACCCAACTAATTCTAATCCATGCTGAATAGAGGCACTATTCAGAGGTAGCATTAAACAACCCCATACACAATTTAACTTCCTACTTCGTTCCAATATGGCCAGCCGGACCATTGCAAAGGACCTTCCAAATCCACATATCATAAATTTAAACTCAACAAATGCTTATGTTAAACCCAACCTCCTATTAAATTATAGGTTGTGGCCTAAACTGACAAGTAGAGCATGAATTTTAACCCTATAACATCATTTTGGCACGCCAAAATTCAACACACCAATTTGACACCCCTACTCAAACATATCATCCACCGTCATTCTTAACGAATCAAGTCCGTCCACAAAACCAACGAAAGACTGATGAACTACTGCAACGAAGATTTAAACATGTATACTACATCCACAGCTGCATATAAAAAAAATGGCATATAAAAAAAATGGCATAAAAAACACCATGTGTACATAAGATTGCATAAAACCACAATTCTTAATACATTGTCACAACTGTAGCAAGCAAATTCAGGATGAACTATGTATAACCAACTTTATGCATCAGAGCTACCCGCTAGATATAGAAGACACTGTAACCTGGAGGCTGCAACTCCGTAGGCACTTACTTCAGCGACCAAATCCGGAAGTTCTGGACAGGTGAAAACTAAACTCTCATCATATTTCTCCAGAGTATCAAGCTACCTCATATCACATATTCAAATAAAAAGTAATAGATACGTCCAACTATTCAGTTCCTATAGCTAAGCAAAAACAGTTTATTCATAAAAGCAACAAAATAAAAGAGACACCATCACTCCAGGCAGATACTCTCCTGTTCTTGCTTTACAGTGACCATTTCCATTGATTTAGGTGGTACCTGCCAAAGAGCACCAAAGAAAATTTTCAAAACATACCCAGTGTAGTCCCCAAACAAGTGGGGTTCACAAGAAAAGTTTTAAAAAGAAAGAACAACGAAACAGAAAACTCCACCAAGTAACATGCCCAGCTCGCCAAGTAAATTCTAAATTTCTAATCAATGAGAACAAAATATGCATAATTGCATAAAGATGAAACATTTAACTCCTTTCAACTTCAATTCACAGCGTAGAACTGAAATATGCACCACTATTAGGCACTTCACATGTTAGCTGAGGTCTTTATCCACGTATATTGCGGATAACTACTCATCATCCAAGGGCATGGAGTACCAGGACATAAAGGGTTTATAATTCATAGTTACTTTCTTCAGTATCCTGAATCTCAAATGATCACAATATAATATAATATTCACATCATCCAAAAATAACAATAGAATATCCAGCTATACTCGCCATATAAATTCAACCGCCTTTAACCAAGCCAGAACCATACACATTTTAAAACAACAAATTCACCAATGTATTATTGCTCCGTCTCTTCTATAAATATTTCCCACGTTTGACTTCTCGTTTTAGTTCTCAAGCCTTTATTAGGAGAGGTAGCAATCCAATAAAATGACAAAAGTAACACAACACAAGAATATTATCATTTTAATTTTCAAAACAGACAGCTTATAGTTCTCAAATACTACATATACCAACACAAAAATCAAAATTTATCAGATCCAAAATCGTATATAGGAAATTCAACATTGACTAGATATAGTGAATGGTGGCAAAAATCTAGATGTTTATGGTTGAAACAGGGTGATAGGAACACTGAATTCTTCCAGAAGATGCCCAATGCAAACAGAAGATGCAACCACATTGACAAGATAGAAGTGAATGCAAATATCAAGGAAGAACCAGAGTAAATGAAAAGAAAGAATCGAGCTAAATGAGAAACTTTATACTGAGACTGAGGAGAGAATGGATTGTGTCCTGGATTTTATATCTACATACATCATGCCATTGTTTCCAATACCTTTGGAAGTGGAGAAAATTGGACAAATTGAGGAGATTTCTTGTGTCAAGGCAGCAAAGAAGGTCAGCCTTTCAACTTGGTCAACTGGAACACTATAATTTTATTTTTAGTAACAGAAGTGGGGATTACGTATCAAACAAAATTGGTTTTGTTTTTATAACCGTTGTCTGGGCGCAGTTTGTGGCTTGTGCACATCTTCACTAATGACACGGGGCACCTACTACCTCCCACCAGACAAGCACATGTACAAGTACCTTTGTCCACCAAGACTTCGCTTAAATGGATTCACAACCCACTTTATTGACCATTATTTTTTATTTTTATTTTTTTGAGAAGGTAACAACCACTTCATTGACCACTATATCATATCCTGGTTACGTAAGTTCAATGTTTAAGGCTCAGGCAACGATATGGAGAAATGTTATAATGAATAGGGGCGGCCTATAATGAAAGGCACACCAAAATGGAACTCCACATGGGTATGGTATATGGAGAAATAATAGGGCATCCTGGCCTTAGTTTTCACAGAACATTAACATCAAAATTGTCAATAGAAGAAGATTTCAATTTTGGCATGATTTGTGGATTGGACACGCTCCATTAAAAAACCAATTCCCCTCTTGTTCAAGCATAGTGCAGGATATTAACAGTCTAGCACACAGGGCAGGGAAGGCAATGGTTGGAATTTAAAATTTTGAAGGTACTTCATGATTGTGAATGCTTAGAGTGGCAGAAATGTCTCAGTATCCTATCATCTTTTGAAGAGCCAAATAACTGTGAGGATAAGTTGGTACAGTAGGGGCAAAAGAGTCTGTATGGAAGGGGCAGAAGAACGTTGTTTTTACTGGAAAGCAGATGGGGATTCTAAAATCTAACGAAAGCAATGTTTTTTGAAGGAGTTGTGGTCCTCCATACTGAAAATTATATTACTGTATACTTCTGATGTCCTTTTAGTGGAAATTGGAATGGGCAAACAAGTGTTGAGCCCTTGCTACAGTTCATAGAATCTTTCATACAGCATAGAGCGGGTGCTCATCCCTTTATGCTACTAGCTCTTTTTCGATAGTACTTTTCCTCTCCCTTTTTTGTCATACAGCACTCTCTTAGTACTTCTAACATCAGAAGTACTTGCCACTTCCCAAAAAAACTGGAAGAGAGAAAAATGTTACGGAGCACCACTAAGAGTTGCATAGATTTAGATAAAGGATTGGGCAGGTAAAGAAAATGGAAATAAATCAAAACTCAACCCACAAGAGCTAGCTCATCAGGTGAAGATTGTCCAAGACAAATAAGGAGAAAGCATTCCATTTCACTCCCCCCCCCCTCCCCCCCGGCCGGACTAGTAGTATTTCACATCTTACTATAGCATAAAATCGCACCCCTTTCTTGAATCAATGTATAACAATTATACCTCATAAAATTAAATAAATATATTCAATGTTAAAATGGAAATATTGTGCAAGAGTTAGAGAGTAATTTGCTTACAGTAAAGCAATAATTCACATGATTTATAGCATAAGTCATAACACCACACCAATTTAATAAATGGCTATTACAATCATTGTACCTCATTAACAGTTCCAAAATATAACTATACCTCATAAAATGTACAGACTCATCAACGTTAATTTGTTAAATCTATTTTATTGCTGATTGTCTAATGTTGTTAATATCAAATATTTGACAACATTCTTTTTAATATTTGTGAACATTTAAAGAAGTAACATTCACATAGAGAGTTTGGCTATAGTGAAGATGTTAAGAAGAAGATGTGCACCACTTACTATTACATTGTCAAGTAACTACACCCCTGTGGAGGGAAGGGCCCTGAACTGGTTGAATGAACTGGTTGAAGTACATTGGGTCATGCCCAGAACAGTTAAGGAGGCAATATAGCTGACCTTTCAGAATAATGAAGATCAAGAATGATTTTGTTTGTCACAAGGCATGGGATATAGTTCCACTATCAATTATGTAGGTTGTTTGGAGGGAGAGGAATAGGAGAGCGTCTGAGGAGATTGAGAACGATTTCGTACATGTTAGCAGTTGCCTCCAATCTCTAGTTTTTGGGGGATGTACCCATGAGGCACTTGTTTGTATAGATGATTGGTAGCCAGAGAGATACATATTTTGGTCTAGATTGCTCTAAATTTTGGTATACTATTTGTATACGGGGATTTCCCTTCCATTAATAAAACTATTTAGCTTATAAAAAACTGAGGCAATAATAAAGCCCACAAAAACCTAGGATTTTGTGGAAGCTGGTAAAGACTTGGACTAAGATCCTCAACATCAACCGATATTAGACATTGGTGTGAAACAACATAACATGGAGGCCTAACATTTGTGAACCGAAAAGAGGGTCGGATCCGCCTCTGATAGCATGCAAAGAAAATGAACCTCAACCGTAACCCAACCCAAAAGCTAGGCTAGCTCATAATTAAGGATTGTTCAAGTACGCAGACAACAACACCACCTTCCCTCAATGAATGTAAACACTTAACAACGCAATTTGGAAAGACAAAATGTGCAACGTTACAGAAATCGCTACTAGTTTGGACCCAAAGAAAGAACATTTTATCAAAGATTGTGTTGAAGCCTGTCTCTCTGACAAAAATGTAACTGAACAATTGGAAATCAACATAGAGAAAAATCTTGGACATACGGGTATGATATTATGAATGAAGCATTGACAAGCTAGCTCAGTAGCACCTGTTTTCTTAGAAAAAAGCGAAGAGCATACCTGGCACTGAAGACTAGTTATAGTGGACCTTAACAAAGTGTCCCCTACGATCAACCTCAACTTTCGGACAAATTCATCCCTGTTTATCTTCTTGCCCTGCCAAATGCCATAATACACGAAGTCATGAACACAAGAGAGGAAAATTATCAAAGTAACAATTCAAGCTATCCAGCAACTATTTGACTTTTTTCTAGAAAAACAAGGCCTTTAACAGATGCAATTGTATATACCTTGAATAACTCATAATTGCTACAAACAAGGTTCATATCCTCTTGACGCACTTTCCTTGAAATTGCTGCAAACAACATGGGGAATGGCATCCAAGGGGACTTCGGAGTCCTCGAAGCCTTTTTTGAGGCCAAGCCTAGTGAATTCTGATAGCAATCACTTCCCTATAAAGGAACATAGAGTAATTGTTAGCTGAAAGGATCTCCACCAAATTAATGAGGAGCACTAAAATGAGAGAATGACTGTGTTGCTGAAGATGCAGAATTGTCATACTAGCACGGCATCCACTCCCTCTCCACAGTTTGGTTCAAAAGTCAAGCTCACTGGATGAGGCTGAGTAGTCCAAAATTTGAAGGGAAAAAAAAAAAAAGATATGTCCCAAAACCTCACACTATAATATACCTATTCCTAACTACATAACAGTCCAAGTTTTGGGAAGCTGCGTGAAGAAACTAACAACTTAAGTATCAGCTATTTTTTGAAACCGAGTTCAAGATCTAAAGAAATGTTGTACTACACCCTGCAGAAGGCAAGTTTGAATATGTTGTCAGCTAAAAATAAGAGGTTTATATGCATGTTTACTGAACTAACAATCATTCCAGCAGCTAATGCAGATGCTCAGTGGCAGCATTTATTCTGTGATTGCATGCGCAAAACACATTCTTAAGTACCCAAGGTAGCACTAAGGCAATGCCTATGGCATCAACTGTGTCCCCTAGGGAACTATCATGCGATTAAGAAATAGAAACCTCAGTGTTGTTTAGGGAGATGATTTGAGGAGCTAATATTTGCAAAATCATGTCCACTGTAGGATGAGAATTTCAGGCCTCAACACACACTCATCTTGCCGAGAAATTCATGGAGTGGTCTTGGAAGACCTCCTCTGTAGCTCGACTCCCCTCAACATTGATAAAAAACCTTTTTTTTAAATTGGTAAATGTGTATTCCTCAGCATTAAGGACATGCTGGACACCATCAAAAAGTGTTCATAAAAAACCTAGTTCTACTGCCTCATCTGCTAAACAATTTCACACTTGTTTCATATTATCCTTCACACTTGTTTCATATCCAAAAAACATCCTCCAATCTCCCATCTTTTGTTAAATGAAAACCAAAAAACAAAATCTGCCCAAGTCGACACACCTATAAATGTCAATAGACTCACCAAGACAGCAGGAAGTGTATCTGCCGGTACCTGATCCACAGGGCCCTGACAACTAGTGACAGCAGAGACATTTGGGCTCTTGTTTCCAACGAGATATCCTGTAAAGATAAACATGGTGAAGACAATTCAACTGCTATCTTACTTTGCAAGACTTAAGACAATATCTATCAAGTGTTCCTCAAATTTAAAATCCGAAAGAGATGGGCCCGTGATTTATTTGTACAACACCACACAGAAGATGAAAAGTACAGTGAGGATGGCAGGACAAAAAAAGGAAGAAGAAACTGGATATATGCATCCAACATGTAGGCAGGTCTAAGTTGAATCAGGACCCTGAAAATAGAAGATCCCACAACTGATCAACATGATAAGTATAGAGCAGAGGCCACAGACATGATCACCTTCAAACTCTCAAAATCAAATTCTCTTCTTAATATTGATCAAATTTGCAATCCCTCCCAAATTTTAAAAACATTTAGATTATGTCGCATTACCTCAGTTTCCAATCATCCACCACCCAACATATAGAGATTAACACATTAAGAATCAATCTTGACACAAAATTCAGTACAACATGAAGAAAAAGTAGTACATGAAAGAAAAAATACCATGGCGCTAAGGTTAATCCTAGTAAGTGTCTAAACAGGATTAACAAGACACAGAATAACAAAGACAAATGCCATAACACTACTGAACAATCAACTAAATAATTAGCAAAATTATATTTATTGTTTGTAATCCATATCCATTAATTTATGAAATGGGCATGGACTTGATGATTTAAAAGTTGGAAGGGGGTTTGAATACTCAAATAAAGTTGGGATTATCTTTTGCTTCCTTTTCTGCAAAAATGAAAAATATGTCCCTCCTTTGGCAGCCTTTAAATTGTAGGATTATTTAAGAGACTGTTCATGAACATCTAACTCAAGTGTAACTAAGGGGAACAACTTTCTGTTGACAATTGAAAACAGTAACCATAGACGGACTTAAATAGTCACCTTCAGAATCAGGAGGGAACTTGAAACTGACGACATATTCTGGAAATATATGTGTACTCATATTCATAGTCCAGACTACATAACACTTCGGATTTTCAACGCTATCAACACCATTATCGAAATCCTCACTACTGGGATGGAACTGCTTTGATCCAGGACAAACCAGTTCCATGTTTCCCATTATTACACGGCATAATATCATGTATTGTACATCATTTTCATCAACATCAGAATACTTTGCACTGTAAAGAAGATGAAAGCAGCAACATCAGTAAACTTCATAATGAGAACAAACAAATCGACAAAAAAAATGTGATAATGGCACAGGTCAGCCACAGAAGGCCTAAAATTCAAAGCAACAAGGAGAAGCGACCAAATAAAACAAACTCCTTTAAGGATCAAAGAACATCTTATCAAACATCACCAAGACAACTATAACAAGTGGAATGTCAAGACAAAATAATGACACAAGGCTAGCATGGAATACCGACTGTGTACATGAAATTCCTCTAAAACCTTATGAAATTACTTGAACACGGTTATATCAGCACATAACACAGGTCATTGTTTGCATCTTTTACAAGCCAGGTTTGTACATTTGACAAGCACCAAGGAATCAATTAAATGGATAGAATAATGTCGGAGATCATTAACACTGACTGGACCAAAACCAATCTAGTCTAGTATTAAAAACCGGAATACCAACAAGAAGGATCTTCTGTGAAAATTCAAACAAATAATCATTCAGGAAAATGGACAGGTACCATACGAAAAGAAAAAACCAGAAACCAGTAACTGACAAACTTGATTGATATTCCTCTATTATTGATGATAAACACTAGGGAAATTATAAATTGACTAAACAAAAAATGAAATCAATAAGTTTAAGACTGCTCCTACTTTTCAAAATCTGTATCAGCATAGCATGTAAGGCAGAGGCATACAATACAACAAGCATTCAGCCCATTTTACCAGCAAAACTATACGGAAGTTTCAGACAACCCCCCCCCCTGAGGTTTATGAATGTTGTCACTACCCCACTATTTTCAGAAAAACATAGCTGACGTATCATTACACGTTCTACCAACCAAAGAACTTATTTCTAAAATGCACCTGCAATGTCCTCCTTCAACTTTGTCCATATTGCACAAAAATTCAGTTTGACTGAAAATCAAAAGGTGGAAACAACACTACCTGATCTCACTACAATTAGCAGGGAAAAGATGAACACCAATGCCATAACTGGAGTTGGTTCTGGATGGATAATAATTAGCAAGCCCATACTTCATAATACTCTTAATCATTCCTTTAGAAGAAGGAAGCCAAGCATAACTAAGAAGGGCATCCCCACGATGCTTCCTCGTAATTTCCACCTGCTTTTGAAAGAGTTCCTTTCGAACTTCCATGAAAGCACTTGAAATACGTTGCAATTCAATAATATTTGCACTTGCAGCTGAACTGATACCCTTGAGGAACATCTCACTCACAGCTTCAGGGTCCATATGTTCCCACTTAGAGTCATACCTGCCGACAGCATTTTCCACCATTTGATAACTTTCCACAGAGTTGTCCTTGGCTTTTGTATCTGATATTCTGACATGATTATCACCAACTTTTGCAATGCGATTTTTTGCTGCAGGTTCATGAAAAAAGTTCACTTGCCCAACATTAGCATTGGACTCTCCACTAGATTCCTTCGAACTTGATATATCTTCCCCATTAACTTCAATCTCCAGTCGCAACTCCAGATCATTGGATCCCTCTGTCTCAGAAGCCACATCTACGCAGTCATTGTCTTCACAGTGACAACGCTCATGCAGTTCATCGCAATAAGCAAAGACTTCTGGGAAAAAGCACTTGCCTGCTTCATCAATCCATGCAATAGGTTGCTGCATACCTGACTTCAGGTCCAACAGCATCATATGGAAGAAATCTAGCACATAGTTATTACCATTGAACACCACCTCCGTTGCAGATTTCTTTATCCGGAGATCTTGCTTAGCCATTGACACAATGTTCTCAGGGAAATCAGTCCATTGACTGTTCTGATAGTACATCAAACGTTGTGGAAGCCCACTTCTCCTAAAATTAAGATAATATCTAAGTAGAGATTCTTTTTGGTGAAATTCGTAGCCACCACACCTGCTTCTTGATCCATTCAGCTTCGTCCGCTTTCCAAGCGGGCGGATTGAAGAGTTCAGCAAGGGTCGAACTGGCAATATCATGTGGGTAGCCCCAGAGAGATGGGTCTCGCATCGAGCTTCCCGCTTTCTCTTCAAGTCAACAACAATGTTCCGGCTTCTATCCAATACCTTTTCGAATTTTGTTTCCATTTTTACCTACAGGATCAATCCCTATCCACTGGTTTAAAGCCAAAGGTTCAAAGATAACAGTTATATACAAACCGGCCTCAGTTTCGCCTCAGAGAGACCGCATCCATGCCATTGATAAAAGTTGATAAACCTGAAAAAATCAAAACAATAACCATTAGATAGCACATAAGATTGCATCCAACATAATTCATAACTAAATGAAACATAGTCCCTCCATCTAAATATGTCTAGCTTTTTCAAAGATCAACATGACAAATTTTCTAGTCAAACTGGAAGTGGACAAATTAGCCTTCTGAAATTGATACAAGGAGATCTAGAAACTACAAATAACATATTACTAACCAAAAAACAGCATATGAAATATTACAAGCTATAAAGTTGCATAATAATTTGAAAAAAAAATGAAAGGAAGTTGGGTAAGATTACCAGTGACGAACTTTTCATAACATACCACGCCCAAAAATGCATCCAAGAGCAGTTCTCAATTGATCTCTTAATCGGCAATAAAAGCTAAAGAAACTAGCGCCCTTATTAACAATATAAACTCCACTGCACAATAAGTAAAACATATATTATTTCCAGATGATGTACAAAACGTTGATACAGAACACCTACAAAATCAGCAATTTAGAAATACCCTTTTTTACACCAGTTGGGAGAGAACATACCAACTTGTAGAGCGTGAATCATTTTGTTCGACAAGTTCCACAAGTAAATAACACAATTTACAACTTCATGAACAAAACAACCGGATCTCTCACCCTTACAGTTTCACCATTAAAAGAAAGAGAGCTTTCAACTTAACAATAAGATGTCTCCACTCAAGAATGGGTGTCAGTCGGTTCAGTTCAGTTTTGTAGAAGTACGGTTTGGTTTTTCACAATTGTGGTTCACCCAAACCGAACTGAACGTACCAGTTTTTTGGTTTTGGGCCAGTCAAATTGGCCTTTTTTTCAGACAGCGACAAAAAAAAGTCCAGAAAGTACTTTTATGAGAAAAGGATTTACTCCAAGTCAAATAGATCTTAGGTAATATATAGAAGCTTCTTTGTTCTCTCTCTCTTCATAGAAATTGCATAGCAATGACATGTAACTTCAAGCCAAATACAAAATACATTCACTTCAGTTTCTAGGGAAATCTTGACGAAGAAAACTAAGAATTTTGAGGCAATAAAAGCCCCAAGAAACTAAAAGGTGAAAAACTACTTAATCTGTTTTTCTTATAAATTCATGATCATAAGCTGTTTGAAGTTTGAAAATAAAGAAACTGAAATGAAAAACATGTACCTGATAAAATGCCAAATAATATGAAAATCAAACAAGCTTATGGACGACTTAAACGATCTACAATTAATCTTAACCCCACAACACAGAGAAATGACATGGTTTGTGGAAAGTGATTAAATTGACCATTGATTATTCTTTTTGAATGATTTAAGAGTTTAATATAATCTATCAGCATACACTGCAATTTCGCTAAAATAAAACACAAATTTGAGTGCTATGTTCGCTAAATTTTATCACCACAGCAAACGAACAGAACTGAAAATCCAATACACACATGATATAACCTTAGTAACTGGGAAGAGATTGAGAGACAACATAAGATTGTGGGTCACAATGATGGCCGAATGGTAAGGCACAGAGCAGGCAACCAGCAATAGCAACAGTTTTGACTTCTTCTTTTTTTTGAAACGGGTAACATCAATAGCAATAGTTTGACTTGGACTTGGAGGTTTGGGCTTCTTCAGAATGAGATTCGGTTTTGGGTTATAAGGCAAAGCTAAGTACAATTTAAGGAGCCCAAAAGTTCTTTTAGAAAACTTCGGTTTGTCGGTATAAAATTTAAACCAAACCAAAGAACCAAAATTATTAAATGAAAAAATACCAACTGTTAACTGACCCAAAAAAAAAAAAACTGGAAAGACATGTACCAACTTGAGCCGGGTGAAAGGAAACTTGCACATCCGATTTTAAAGGGGGAACAAAACTGAAAATTTCTGTTTTTTGACAACCAAAACTGAAAATTTCTGTTCGATCAGTCTTTTTGCTTGTATGCCCACCCTATCCCCGCTCACATGCACTACACATCGTTAATTTTTTAAAAACCTGACACATGCAATTCCTAATATCTCAGTTCATTGGGAAAATGAAGTAAGAACTTCTGTTTTAGCGCACATAGGATTCATCTACGTGCTAAATGCCATTGACATGGAGTCTGGCATGTGATAAAAGAAATCAAACTTAAGTAATAAGATCCAGTAGGTATGTGCATCAAATATAATCTAACAAAATAGCCCAAAGTGTAAAATTGACACACCGAAAGATTCAACAGAAAAAAAGAAAACCCTCCAGACCTTCCAACCATTTTGAAGATATTAATACAGCAATGCCTCTACTCCCATGCGAACACATCAAGAAAATCAAAAAGAAAATCACAATCCCTTTTTTGATAGAATTCAAGACAGCCTAGTGGTAGAACACAAAAATTAACCTTAGTGTGAAGAAAACAAATCAAGTAGACAGGGAAAAAGACATAATGATCATAATCTGATGGTGTGTATATGTATAATAGGTGGGGAAAAAAAACATAAAGAGGAAATGAGATAAGATTACCAGTGATGAACTGATCACAACAGCTCAAAAAATGCATCCAAGAGCAGCTCTCAACTGATTTCCTAATCAACAATAAAAGCTCAAGGAACTAACGCCACCAATGACATAAAACTCACTGCACGAATAAGTAAAAACTGATTTTTAATTCCAGATAACATATTAAAAAATCGCAAGTTACAGAACTTTTAAACAAATTCAGCAAATTGCAAGTACCCTGAATACTTCTATAATGCCAGTTAGGAGAGAATATAACCAATTTTGGCAACGTGAATCATCATTCACTAGTTTTTCGATAAATTCTGTGTTCAATAACACAATTACAACTACATGGCATGCTCAAGAACGTATACAAAAGAGAAGCTCTCAATTAATCTCCTAATCAACAATATAAACATAAATGACCTAACATACCTAATGATATCAAACACCACTACACGACAAGTAAATCAGATGTTATTTCCAGGTAACGTACAAAAAGATTCATAAGTTACAAGACATCTAAACAATTCAGCAAAAAAAAAAAATGGTTTTTATGACTTTGGTGTCTGAGCCAACTTTCGCTCCCCTCAGCTAATTCCACGAGATACCTACCACCTCCCACCACCAGCAACATGTACAAGGTAACTCTATCCACCAAGGCTAGGACACATGGGAAGAATCACCTAGTATTTTTTTGTCACCATTGGGAATTGAGCAATTTACAAATACAAGTTACCCTAATTTTTTCTTATTTCCAACGCCAATTAGATATTGTTCCAATTTCAGGAATGTGAATCATCAGTCACCAGTTTTTTTCGACAAATTCCACGTGTTCAATAACACAATTACAGCTACATGAACAAAATAAGATAGCTTCCACCATTACTACAATAATACATGATATATTTAATATTTACTAACAAAATCAGTTTTTTCCTACAAATTCCAAGTGTTCAACAACACAATTAAAACTACATGAACAAAATAACAAAGCTTCCACTAACATCACAATAAAACATGCTATATTTACCCAAAAAATACATCATATAGATTAAAATTCTCCTATTTCCAACGCCAGTTAGATATTCCAATTTCAGAAACATCAATCACCAGTTTTATCAACAAAATCCAAGGGTTGACTAACACAATTACACCTTACATGAACAAAATAAGATAGCTTTCACCTTAAACAAAAACAACATCATATACACTAAAATCCACACCAAACACACACATACACATATAATTAAGCAATATACATGATAATCTCTACACATGTATTCGTATATATTAAATTAGCCATTAGATTACTTACATTAATAAAAAAAAACTGAAATTGTTACACAGATCAACGATCGATTACTACAAGGATCGATGAAGAGAAGTCGACGGATAATGATTTTTCAGCCTCCTCCTCCTTCTCCTGCAAGCAACGAGTGGTGGTGGTGAATGTCAAACCCTAAGTCGGCCCAAAAAAATTTACCAAGTCTTCTCCTCCTTGTATGCGCAGAGATCAAAGATATTTAGGTGGACGAAGATGCCCTCCAAGCTATCCAATGGACCGAGACCGACTGTAATATTCTTGTTATTTTGCGTTTTAAAGAAGGGTAATGTCGGTAATCGGTCGGCGCAATTAATCGGGCCTTTTAAGCCCGAATAACAGCCCGAACCCGGAGTTTGGCGGTTACATTCACCGACTCAATGAATCTGCGTGTTGCTACAAATAATTTCGATATGGGTCCCACGTGTTTTGTGTGTTCAAAAGGATAAGACCGATGTTTATTCATCAAATTATTATTATTAGAGCAACATTCACATATAACAAATATATTTATATGTTATAGTTATAATTTATATAATTGTGCTTCATAACAAATTTTACGTTTGTTATAGAGCTTTTGATTTGTATAATTCGCTAAATATATTTAATTTTATACAAATTGTTCATTTTTGTATAAATTCATTTATACATTGTAATATGTTTAATAAGATCTGTATTTATATAATTATAAGTGTATATGACGAAAATAAATGTATTTGTATTTGTATATACACTTTTCTCTAGCTTTATATAAACACAAACGCATTTTATATATTTTATACCGAAATGTATAAAATGGCTAATTGTATACCGAATCAGATTGCCAAAAAATGGGATGTTTGTTGCGAATTACAAATAAAATAAACTATGACTATAGCATTTAATTTGAATTAATAGTTTGTTAGTTCATACAATTTTTCCTTATTATTATTTTCTTTTCGATCTCAATTTGTGATACAGTTAAAATATCGAGAGTTATTTATTTTTTATTTGTACTAATTTTATATGATAAGTATATCATGTATATGTGTATTTTGATTGGTATTATATCTTAATTTTAGTTATGCACAAGTGATAAATACGTAAATTTATATGTATTTGAATAAATAGATATATGTGTTTTACGTGTATTATATATGAAAGATATAAATTGTCATATTAAACAAGCATATATACAAATTTAATTATTTATTTATACACATCTAAAATTAAGGGATGCATATGTTAATTATGATCAAATTCGAATAATAGCATATTTATGTATAATATTTTTGGAGGGTATAAAATTTTAACTCTAAAAGTTCGTACAATATTTCATAAATAATACGATGGATTGGAAAAAGGTAAATGAACTTTGAAAAATTGACACACCTATTATATGAGAGATGTTTACGGTGGATTGGAAAAGGGCAAATGGGCTTTGAAAAACCAACACACCTACTGTTAGAGAGATGTTTTCAATATTGTTAGTCTATTGATATGAAGAGATTATTCAGCATTTTTACATGAAAGCTCCTCTTGTTTTGACTTTGTATGTAAAAATTAAATAAGAAAATAAATTCACACGAAATGTATAAGATCTACAAGTAAATATTTATGTTATTTGAACGTGATAAATAAACTATTGATAACTTTTTCTTTAGAAATAAATTTACTATGGAGATTTAGAGTCATTCTGATCGTCTTTTCAATATAACATCCTTCTAAGCAAATTACATTCCGTTTCAACGATTTAATAGTACTCATAAAAAGGTTCAAAACATACATCATATTTAGACTTGTTATTTTTTCTTTAATTTGAAAATTATGAAACAAAGATAATAACAATAAATTATAAAAGTCGATATATCGATCGATTCCTACTTATTGAACATAAACTATGATTTTTCAAAATTTGAAGAATATTGATTTCCATTCACCTTATTATTCCTTTGTTTTGAGTCTCTATCATTTTTTATAAAGTTACATATTTTTTTCATATATTTCAGAATTCAGATACAAAACTAATAAGTATTTAATAATGGATAAGAATATTTTTTCACTTTTTAATACTTATGCGAGGTGAGTGACTAGATTTTTTAGACACAATTTTATAACTATTAACATGTAAATATTTTTATGAGATCTAAAATCTTGAACATAAGAAATATTACTTATCATAATATGTAAATAGGATATTATAAAAATATTTATATCAAGGTGTACATTTATTTATTTTCTCAACTAAATTGGAGTCAAATGAAAATTCCTTAGTTAAAAATATGTGATTCATTATTTTAAGGTAAAATTAATTTTTACTTTAAAATAAGTCAAAAGAGTAATATAATATTTATGAAAAGTATAAGAAATTTGGAGGTGACACCCACGTAACGGATTGCTTGATTACCAAGCCATCATGTAGTTGGTAATTGGCAAATAAATTAAGGATTTATTTGACAATTTCTTTTATGATTTTTCTTGATAATCACTCATGAGAAAATATTTCGAAACAAACTTCACTTCGTTTGAGTTATTGTTACATATGATTTCATAATTTGTCTTATTATATTGTAGTGTGTTGTATCATATCATATTGTATTATTTTAAGAAATATAATGTTTTAATTGATTTATTTTAATTATTATATAATGCTATGCATCAATAATTTGAAGAATAAATCAACAAAAAAGGTAGGGTATAAGAAAGAATTGTTATAAAAAGTTACAATAAAGAATAACATAAAATTATTAAATAATAAGTAAAGACAAAATAAGGAGGGGGAGGCAACAAAGTAAACACCAAATCAATTTCACAATCATATTCAAACTAAGTAACAATAAAAATAAACATGGTATTTAAACTAAAGCTCCATTTGAGCATGCAGTATTGAATCATAATTTGAAATCATATTAATTTAAAATTAAATGTTTATTTAAACATGCAATTTGACTTTTTTTAAAGTTTTATTTTCCCACATAAACATGAAAATTTCAAAAGTTACAAAAATATTTTCAAATTCTTATACATCTTACAAATGAGAATCATATTTTATAATCAAGATATCAAAACATTTTAACACATCATATTAATAAACTACATGTCTTTATATTTTCTTTTTATAAATAAATATTTATTGTTATAAATTTACAAACCTACATAATTTTATAAAAATTCAATGATCAATAAAACTAATAACTAATTATTTTTTAATATAATTCTCTCATAGAATACTAGCATTATAACAGAGCTTCATCCTCACTCTATAGAGGTCGCAAGGAAGAAAAAAATGGCGAAATCCTCAGCGATCAAAGATGCTGAAGCACTTCTCCGTTCTCTTCGCTCAGCTTACACTGCAACTCCCACTAACCTCAAGGTATAAAATCTCTCTATATGTTTACCGATTTTGTATACTGTACTTTTAGATCTATGTATATATGTATCTCAAATCCTAAATTAGTGAGAAATCGGTTGTATGATTCCTTTTATATCAGCGATTCTTTATAGTAACGCTAGCGAGATTATTGATGGACTTTTTGTATTTGTTTTCCTCTACACAACAGATTATTGATGTATATATACTGTTTTCCCTCTTTACCGGCGTAATTCAGGTAATATAGATGTATTTATTTTGTATACTTGTGTTCAATGTTATTGATGTTACTGCTATATATCTATGCATTGGTAAGTTTATGTTGTTGCTATGTTATTTGTTTGGCGTAATATATAAACAAACACTTAAACTTGACCTCAACCAGTAGGTAAACACTTCAACTTTGAGTATGCACATCTAGATACGTCAACTTGTTCCATTATGTGTCAGTTGAACACTCTTAACTTACAGAAATGATCATTGGCGATAAGTTGGAATGTTCAGTTGTCCGTTGAGATCAAGTTGAGGTGTCTAGATTTGCACTCTCAAAGTTGGAGTACTTGCTTGCCAGTTGAAGACAAGTTTAAGTGTATCCTTATGTATTATGCCTATTTGTTTTGATTAATTTGGATGACCCACGCCTCGTGCATGTTAAGGATTGGAGTTATTTGGTTATTTGTTTTAGTATGTGCTTAATTTGAGGGAAATGCAATTCTTAGTGAGATAATTTTTTATGCATTTACATGTTGAGGATTAATGAGTAAGGGCATGCATTGCATGGTTTGACTAGATTTAGGTTTAAATTGGCATTGGAAAGTCTTAAATCATGTCAGAGATTGCTAATGACAGGAATTTAATTCCCGATGATGAGTTCATACCCTAAGATTGTGATGAAGGTGCAACAGAATCGACAAGGAATAATAGTTGGATAAAAAAGGTTAATTGTGGATGTCTAGATTGCTTGTCGGTCTGACTTAGGTTTTTTTTTTTTTAATCATGTTGTAACTTTTCTGCATTATCGAGCAATCTTGCAATTGTAAACAGTAAATTTTGCATAAATAAAGTAGCCAAATCATTAGTTAGTCATCTTTCTTGTACTGAAGAAGCAGCGTTCTGTCCTAGCAAAGCTATCGTCGAACCAAGGAAATATTCTAAAATGTTACTTCTTCTATGAAACTCCTTAACCAAAATAGGACTCAGATTATCGATGTTTGATATGGACTCTCCACACACCACCATTAATATATTCATCTTAGGTGTACACCGCTGCTTCCTGCCATTGCTTCCGAAGCAAGTCCTCTTCTGTGCTCACATCACACAATGGGGTCACTTGCACTTATCCAGTTCCTTATTTGAAATTTTGTGTTGGATCTTGGGAGCAACATTGTTTTAAGATTATTGCAGCAATCTAGAGTCAATGTGTCCTGAGAAGTCTATGCTAAAATAAATGAACATCTTTTTCCTTATGAATGGTCTCTGTACAATATGGTGTTCCTTCATGATTTATGGCCTTAAATTCATCAGAATTCACAACTTCTCCTGGTTGGGATTTAATGAACAATCCATCTGCGAGTTAATATGGACTAGAAAAGCAATTGGGCATCAGCCAAGGTCAGGCTATGATGTATAAAGAAATCTACCTTGTGCTTACACTTGAGGGTGGAGACTTGCCTTCCTATTGTAAGACAAAATGATGTCTCCAGTGATTATTTTAGTGCATTATTAGACTCGCTTAGGAATGCTATCTTTTGTCTATTCATCATAACCTTCTCCATAACGACCTCCACCACCAATACTCTTGCACAGCTTTCACCTTTACATTGTGGGATGGTCTCACTAGTGCCCTTACATTCATCACAAAGCCATTGCACTCATTACAATGGTGCTGCATGTGAAGGATCATGGATAGACTGATGTCTCTGGAAGAATACTTCAATTGAGACAGACAGAACAATTTGTTAAATCACTTGGTTTAGATCCTTTGCCCTTGAAATATCGGCAGAACAAATAGCGTAAAGCCGTAAAAGTGAGAGCTTCTCCAGAGAACCTCAAAAAGAGGCAGGTATCAACCTATCTCTTTTAATCTTTAGCCTCTGCTACTACCAGCACCGCCACCAGATGAGTTGCTGTCAAATGGGTCATGTGCACCATCTCCACCACTCATTCCTTGAGAACAGATCATTTGAAACCTCATGCACTTAGGCTATCTCTTTACGCTGTTTATTACAAGGGTGCTACATCTGATGGGTCATGCATGGACCGATGTCTCTGGCAGAATGTTTCAATTGAAACACTCGGAACAGTTTTTTAAAGCACCTTCACAATCTGCCAACTTATGCCTGGCAACAGTTCAATTCCAACTGCTCTCCTTCCACATGGATAAATAATCTCAATCCCAACAAGAATGCTAACACAGTTGTTGTCAAGATACAGTCCAGCGCCTACCCCCACCCACAGAGCCCCAATTACAATAGAATCAAAAGAATCTTTACCTCCCCATAGCTAAAATAGTTCGTCGAGATTTTTAAATTAAGAAAAGGGACTTTCCTCTTCCACCTATTTCATAAAAGTTGTAACATCTTTTTCATCTTTTATTTCTTAAGAATTTTGACATAATAATTTATTTTTTGTTTCCAAGCAAACACTGAGTCCTTCTTTCATGTGAATCACCACCTTTTTCTCTATACCATCATTCTCCGTTCTAGTCCATGTGGAGTTCACAAAAAAATTGGAACAAAGAATGATGTGCTATTAGGTTGTGTTTATGACTTAAAATACTTTCTCTTCTTCGGGAAGGCCATAGATACCATGCCATTTTCAGAACAGAGCAGTTTGCCTGTGCATTAGAGTTTCTCCGCTACTTCACGTCTGTGTGGAGAGCCTTTCAGCATTTTTACTGCTTGCCCCTATAGAATTAAGAATTAATTGTGTTTTTGAAATTAAGATATCATCTTGCTCGGTTTACCCAAAATGGGGATGGTTGACAAGTGTTTTTCACTTTATCAGGTGGTTTACATGGCTATTGTTGGGTCCTTCCCATTCAACTCTTTTCTCTCTGGGGTACTCTCTTGTATAGGCACTGCAGTCCTTGCTGGTTAGCTAATTGTTCTCTGCCATACACTTCATCTTTGGAAAATGTTGAGTTCAATTGATTGATTGGTATTTCTGTTGCAGTTTGTCTCCGAATTCAAGTAAACAAAGAAAACAAGGAATTTAAGGTAAGATTTCTCAGTTTCTCTTGAGGACCATCTACTTGTACTTGAAATGGAGAAACTTTAGTTTCACATTAGCAAATGAGTGTATGACCTTCTCACCTTGAGCTTCTAATAACAATGCTCATGTTTTTTCCTCATGTAAATGGATAATTTTGAAGCGAAAAGAGGAGCTAGTGGCTATGTTGTTGCTTTGTTCTTTTTAAATTGTTACTTATGGCAACATATGTCATTTATTCTCGACGTCTTATATTTCATCTGCTTGGAAACAACCTCTCTTACCTCCACGAGGTAGGGGTAAGGTCTGCATACACCCACCCCTCCCCAAACCCCACTTGATGGGATGGGATTACACCGGCTATGTTGTTGTTGTTGTTGCCTTATATTTCATTACTATTGCAGGATTTACCACCAGAGCGTGCTTATGCAGACTTTATTCTCAGCAATTTAGTGCTCCATTTGGTGATCATGAATTTCCTTGGATAGATTGACGTTCCTAATCTCAAGAGTATGTTGCTTTTTCTAAATTTTCTTGTCTTGTAAGGATACTGAGGCAATGCATGAGGTTTCATTAGCACTTTAGCCATGTGAAAATTTTTTGTCTGCCCTTTTCGATCTATCATTTATGAATATGATCATTTGTTAGTCAGAACTCACAAATAAAGTGGGAGAAATCATGACAAAATTGAGTTTAAATCTCTATAGAGAAAATTTCTTCCCATCTATCAAAGTTCTAGTGAATAGAATTATTTGGTACTTATAGTGATGCAGAAACCCAATGAAACAGTCGAAGAATACTCGATGGAATAGTTCAAGTGCTCAAGGAGAGTGCAAATTGATCCAAACATGACCCTTGTCCAGGAGCTCGAAGATTTTGACAGGTGGATCTATTTGTTGGAGTTTCGTGATCCATGGAGTTCAAACTTCAGAAATGATTCATGCAATTAGTTATTTTGAGAGTGTTCATTCTTTTAAGATATATCTATATAGTATAATTTTTCAGCAATGAACATTCATTTGACCATCCTTGCAATAATATAGTTTCGCCATTGTTTTGACGTCGTCCCTATTCTAAGGCAGTTCTTTTGGTGCCATAACCCTTTTTAGCAACATAGTTGCAAAACTCGAGTTAATTATTGAAACTTAAGCTTAATTTTTTTAAGAACAATGATTAGACTATCAAAGATTATGCATTAATCTACAGATATTATGCTTTCTAACAATTGATGATATATATTTCAGCTATATGGTCATCAACAAATACAAAATTTGTTGGTACCTAGAGATTCTAGGAATAATAATTATTAACAACAATGATTAAGATGTTATGGAGATCATGATTTCAACCTATATTGCTTGACTTCTTATGTTTTTCCTAATTAAAAAAATATAGTATTTAGTATTCAATATTTGTATTGAAGTCTGATTAAATATGAATACACGTATTATGCAATTTATTTATTTGTCATCACCCCACAATTGAAGAGCTAGAATTTTGTTCAATCCAAAGTATTTGATTAGCGAAAAAAAATATAATTTGGGGATGACCAACTTATCGTTTTTGATTATTTTGACTTTTGATATACTCTCGTCGTTATAATTATTTGTCGTCATTTTAGAAGTTCTCTATAAGGTGAGTTATTTTTTCCCCATTTTATTATTATCTTTAAAAACTACAAATACTTTAATTAAGTTGTTTTTTCCAAACATATTTTTTAAAAAAAAAAATTAAACTCGAAACCTCTTATTAAACACGAAATACGAGGATGATGTTGGCCCATTAAGAACAAAACTTTTTAAGACATGCAACGCACGAATGGAAGGAGAATCAGAGATCCGGACACGTGGCTAACACCCACGGCGACATTCCTCCGCAGGTTTTGGGGTCCAGCTCAGCAAATTACGATTTTGACCTTTTACATAGCTCCAATGGCCCCATCCTTGTGGACTTCAACATATTTTTATTTTTGGGAATAATATAGAGCAACTTTCACATATAACAAGCATAAAAATCATATTTATATGTTATAGCTATAGTTTGCATAATTCGCTCAATAGCAAATTTTATGTTGGCTATGGAGCTTTTGATTTTGTATAATTCGCTAAATACATCCAATTTTATACAAATTGTTCAGTTTTGTATAAATTCATTTAAATATCGTAATTCGTATAATAAGATCTATATTTGTATAATTATAAGTGTATAAGACGAACATATATATATTTGTATATACACTTTTCCCTCGTTATAGACAAACACAAACACATTTTATACCGATATGTATAAAATGACTAATTGTATACCGAATCAGAAAGCAAAAAAGGGATGTTTGCTGCGAATTACAAATAAAATAAACTATGGTTATAACATTTAATTTGAATTAATAGTTTGTTATTTCATACAATTTTCCCAATAATATATGAATATTAAGCACTATATACGATTGAAAAAAAAGCTATAAAGTCAATTACTAATAATACTAATTTAAATATTTTTTTGGAATTGATTCATTAGGAGGTCAACATTATACTCAACATAAGTACATACTCACATGAAGTATTAAACAAAATATGTGTTAATTTGATAATAATTATTAAGAATAATAAACGTGAATTCAATAAGAATCATATTATTTGGTTATATGAAAGAGGAATCAACCCAAAATTTGGATGAGGTCAAGATGCTACCAAGCGAATTGCAATGACATTGAAAATAACTTATTTTGAAGTTTTTCTTTATTTATACAATAATTTCGAAAGAGATTGAAAAACATATTTTAATAACCTGCTTGGTTAAGTTTTTGTAAAGTTAAAATTACTTATTACTTTTTTAAAACAAGTATTTTATTTTTATAAAGGTGAGATGTTTCATCAAATACTAATACATCAACATTAACAACAAAAAATTAATAATTATTATACACAGTTACACACTTCATCATAATATATTTTTGCTCTTGTTGAGAGTCGAACTCAAGACCTCCCGCTTACTAAACGGGTGCTCTAACCAACTGAGCTACAAGAGCTTTGTTGCTAACATTTCATTTCTTTAGTTAAACAATGCATATTCAACATTTTTGCCTGATAGATAGGAAAACCAAATAGTGAGTTGGATCATTAAACTATACTTAGGTAAAAAATTAGATTCAATTCGTAACCTAAAAATTTTAATTTTTATATTTTGATTCTTTTCCATTGATATTTATGCTCATATACTCAGGGATGGGCTGAGACAGATTCAAAATTAAAAGTCTATGAGTTTCTACATTGATTTCAAGTCAAAGTATATAATCTTAACAATTGAATTCATAAGTCATTAAGTTGTCATAAATTACTCAACCAGGCTCTACATCCGCCAAAAAGGGGTGGGTGGTAGGGCCTAGGGGTATAATTTGCCATACATCTAGTTTCATGACCAGAATAATGGAACAAGTTAATGAATGGTTGTTTTTACGTGTGGGATTTTGATAATATTATTTTGTTGCTGAATTCATTGACATTTATGGATTGATCAACGTGAGTTGGATGAGATAGTTGAGATCTCTTTATTCTTAATTATACATTTTAGAACGTTCGAGTACTGGATATGATCTTTTGTTGTTGTTGGGATTGCTGCCCCCGAAGAGGCCATGCAACATGCGATTAGAATATAATCAAACTCTAATATAAATATCGGACACCAAATAAAAAATAAATAATTAAAAAATATTTATGAATTGAATGTACATATTGACCCCTTAAATTACTTCAACTGTTGCATTCATGAATTATGCATGAGTTTGGGCTTTTGCCGTAACTATTATGTTCGATCACGTACAAACATGGATTTGAAATTTAAAATTTGATAAATACGATTCAAATTTGTAGCACTAAATTTATTTCATTTTAAAAATAATTAGTTGAGATTATAACATTTATTAAGATTTTAATTGATAAACTTGTGTTTCGTATTAAGATTACTGAATCAAATAAGTTTGATGTCGATGTGTCATGATGCATCATCTCTAACAAAGTTATAATATACTTATTTTAATTTTATAAATGAGGTCCGTAGATATTGTTATTAACGGTTCTTCAAAACAAATGTAAACGGAGTAATTTTTTGTTAATTTTTATATAACTGTTTCATATTAAACAATTTAAATTTACTTTTGTAATTATTATTTTATTTTCAATTTACTAATTGTTCTCCACTTCTCCTTACTGGTTCCAGTTGTAAAGATTGTGAAAATATCTCATGACCTCCTAAACTCCCATTAATTACTTTTAGAACCCCAAAACTTCCTCTTTCTCCCTTACTATCCCTTACCCCCCCTCAAAAAAAAGTGTTCTTTCTTCCACCCCCAAATTCAGCAAGAAAGTAAAAGCTTCATATGAACATCTTTAATAGCCATTAAAGTTCACATTTTCTTCATAAATTGCCTAATAAAATCTTAATAATAAATACATGCACAATAAGTTAAAAAAATATACCATTTCCTATTTTCTTGAAATTCTTAAGCAACCAAAAAAGGAAAATGTTTTTTTCATGTCCTAAAAAAAGGAGACTTATTTATTCACTCTGTTACTTTATATACACACAAAGTTCTTGAAACCTTTGAATATTATAGATATTGTGTTCTTTTTTGGGTGTCATAAGCATAACTTGCTGCTATTTGGTAAAAAAAATGAGTCTTTAAATCTTTTTATTGATAAAGTTTGAATCTTTCTCATCTGGGGTTCTTCTTTTTTTCAATTTTGAGGTTGGTAACTGCTAAATAAAGCACTTTTTTTTTTCTTCTTACTGATAATACCATGTCAAAAATTGAGTCTTTAAATATTTACTTTGTAAAGTTTGACTCTTCTCATTTGGGGTTCTCCTTTTTTTCAATTCTGAGGTTGGTAACTGTTAAAGAAAGAACTTACTTTTTTTCTACTGATAATACCAATTACCAAGTTTTAAAAAAGACTCAATTTTTGTCATGTTTGAGACTTGAGGAGAAACATTGAAAGAGAAAGAGAGAGGAAAATGGTTTAAGGGTGTTAGTTGTTAATTTTGGATAATTAAAACTTGAGTCTAGTTGTAACATTTTGATAGGACCCCATGAAAACTTTTCTTAATATTATAATTGTTTTGTTGTAGTTTCTGTTCTGTTACTATTTTTTGTAAGCTGTTTGTTTCTTGTACTTCTGTTATGCGGACCTTCCCCAGACCCCACTGGAGTTATAGTGGATTTGTTGTTGTTGTAATTTGTGATGTTTGTATACATGTATCTTTGTGCTGCTGCATGTTGTTGAGAATCTTGAATTTTTTTAATTAATTAGTAGTTGCCTTGAATGTTTCTTACAGGCCTTTTGGTAGGTAGATTATTTAGTATTATAAGTATATTGTAAGATTTTGTTGGAATTGTTTATATAGTTTTTGGACAAGGAGTGGAGGTCCATATCTCTCCACTTATGCATGCCAAATTATAGTTTAGATGTATTATCAATTGATTTGTATTGGAAGACCATTTGAATGTCTATTTGAACTGCTATCTCCTTTTGAAAAACCTCTGTCCTTACTTGGATATGGTGTAGGAAACTCTTGATCCTTTGTTCTTGCTGTGTACCTCATCAAGGCTAATAGGTACTTTTCCCTGTGTGATTCTGGTTGTATTTTATACTTTTCTTTTGTGTTTTGGATGTATGTTGCTCGGACTCTTCAAAAATATTGACGGATAGGTGTTGGAGTCTCCAAAAGTACTGCATCTTTTGGATGATCCGACATGTGCATAATAGTATTTTTCGAGAGTCCGAGCAATATAAGTGGATAAAAGGTGCAATCTTTAACGAATTGAAAACGTAGTATGCCTTGGGAAATTAAGGAAGTGGAAGAGGGTTGTGTCATAATTTTACCTTTTGCTGTGGGGATGTTGGTGCACTCCCACTATGAGCAGTGTCGGACCACAATGGTCTATTGTACGAAACCTTACTCTGCTCGAACCCAGGACCTCTAAGGCACATGGCAACAACTTTACTAGTTACGCTAAGGCTCCCTGCAATTTTACTTTTCACTGTTCTAGTGACCTGCAAATGATATTTTGGTTCTTTCCAACTCTTCTTTTTTGTTGTTTCAAATGGAAGTGTTAATTATGCATACTTATAGCTAGCTGAGATCTTGAGACATGAGCCTTTCAGATGTTGTATTAATTGTGTATACTTTCCATCTAGCTAAAAATTTCTGTTTTCTTCATTGGCCTTTTGCATTTTCAGGTTCTGGTGAGATCTTGTTGCTCAATATTTAGCTAAATGGCTGGAAGATCCTTCAAACCTTCAGACTCGCAACAAGGTAAGCCTCCGGGCGTGACCTTTGCAAGGAGGACTTCATCTGGTCGCTATGTGAACTTGTCTAGGGACTCCCTGGATAGTGAGATCAGTGGTTTAGAGTTTGCGAACTACATGGTGCATATGCCTCCGACACCCGATAATCAACCTTTTGATCCTTCCATTTCACAGAGGGTTGAAGAGCAGTATGTGTCGAATTCCTTGTTTAGTGGTGGATATAACAGTGCTACTCGTGCACATTTGATGGATAAGGTGATTGATTCGGAAGCAAATCATCCTCAGATGGCTGGTACTAAAGGGTCTTCTTGTGCTATACAAGGTTGTGATGGAAAGGTCATGAGTGATGGCAGGGGTGATGATATCCTCCCTTGCGAATGTGATTTCAAAATTTGTCGGGATTGTTATATTGATGCAGTCAAAATCGGAGATGGGATGTGTCCCGGTTGTAAAGAGCCATACAAGAACACTGATTTAGCTGAGAATGATGTGGATCCCTCTAGACAACCTTTGTCATTGCATTCAAATGTTGGGATGTCTAAAAATGAAAGGATGTTGTCGTTGATGCGATCAGCTAATAAGTCGGCCTTAATAAGGAGCGAGTCAGGGTTGATGAGGAGTCAAACAGGAGATTTTGATCATAATAGATGGTTATTTGAGACTAAAGGAACATATGGATATGGGAATGCTATATGGCCAAAGGATGAAGTATTTGGAAATGACGAAGATGATAACATTGGTGAGCATTCTGAACTTCTCGACAAGCCTTGGAGGCCACTTACGCGTAAGCTGAAAATACCTGCTGCAGTACTCAGCCCATACCGGTAATTTCTTGTTCCAAGTAGTTTCAATGACTATATTTGACTATATTAGACGAATAACTTTAAATCTAACGGAATAGTGCCTTAATCTTCTAACTTTAACGAAATAACAAATATAAAAACAATCATATCATATTTCCTAACTGCAAATTCTTCTATTAACTTTGATCAATCTAAAATAACTTGTAGGGGACATATCATTTACCTTGGCAAATTCTGCTTAATGTGTTTTTCGTAATCCAAATTCGATATCACCATCTAATGACATTACCCATCAATGCCATTTTTGGTGTGTTGTAAATTTAGTTTTTTAAGGCTTAGCGTGTAGCTATGCAGTAGCTGAGTCAGAATTTTCACAAAGAGAACTCACAATATAAAGAAGTAAACACAAGAAGAAGCCAAGGGGATTCAACAACTGATATATATTCATAAAAGATAATTGTGACCTTGTACATACAATGTAATTTTCTGGCGAATGGGGCTTGGGTGAACTCCTTTGCTCCCCCTAGCTCCGCGCCTATTAGCTTGTTTGACAGACTAGATCCAATTATTCTGCCTTTTCCAACTACGTTTGCATACTACTATGATCTAGGTTGATTGTCCAATGCTTAATGGTCTCGTATTAGGTCTGTGATCGTTTACCTAATAGTAGGATTGAATGACTTCGATGTTCAATCTGTTCATGGTGCTTATATCTCAAAATATACATTAATAGTAGTATCATTTTTGTTGTTATTTTCAAGATGTTTGAGACTTTGAGAAACTGTCCTGACATATCTTTCATTTTACAGGCTTTTGATTTTAATTCGTGTTGTTGTACTTGGATTATTTCTTCAATGGAGGATCAGCCATCCCAACAATGATGCTATATGGCTGTGGTATATGTCAATAGTCTGTGAGATTTGGTTTGCAATTTCATGGCTGCTTGATCAGCTTCCAAAGTTATGTCCAGTCAATCGTGCTACCGATCTTACTGTCTTAAAAGAAAAGTTTGAAACTCCGACCTCAACCAATCCCACTGGAAAATCTGATCTTCCAGGAATGGATATATTTGTTTCTACAGCAGATCCAGAGAAAGAGCCGCCACTCGTTACAGCAAACACAATACTATCTATTCTTGCTGCTGATTACCCTGTTGAAAAACTTTCTTGCTATGTATCTGATGATGGAGGTGCTCTTTTGACTTTTGAAGCAATGGCAGAAGCTGCAAGTTTTGCCAACATTTGGGTCCCATTTTGTCGTAAACATGATATTGAACCGAGGAACCCGGATAGTTACTTCAGCTTGAAGAAAGATCCTTACAAGAACAAAGTACGTCAAGATTTCGTCAAGGATCGTAGACGTGTGAAGCGCGAATATGATGAATTTAAGGTTCGAACGAATGGCCTTACTGATTCTATTCGCCGGCGTTCTGATGCCTACAATGCTCGAGAGGAAATTAAGGCTTTGAAGCTTCAGAGAGAGAGAGCTGGAGATGAACCTTTGGAACCTATCAAGATAACTAAGGCCACTTGGATGGCAGATGGAACTCACTGGCCCGGAACTTGGATGGTAGCTTCTCCCGAGCACTCTCGGGGTGATCATGCAGGAATCATACAGGTATCGATCATGCTTGTTCGTAGCATCTAATTGCTTCCAGAGGCGGAGCTAGGATTTTTAGTTTATATGTTTTATATACTCCCCCCATTTCAATTATTAGATTGCTTTTACATTTTGGTTTCCTTAAGAACTGTAGGTGATGTTAAAACCTCCAAGTGATGAAGCCTTGCATGGTGCGACAGCTGATAGCAGTATGATTGATTTTACGGAAGTTGATATTCGGCTCCCCATGCTGGTGTATGTTTCTCGTGAGAAGCGTCCTGGCTATGATCACAACAAGAAGGCTGGAGCTATGAATGCATTGGTCCGAGCATCAGCTGTCATGTCCAATGGCCCTTTCATTCTAAACCTTGACTGTGATCACTACATCTACAACTCAGAGGCAATAAGGGAGGGCATGTGTTTTATGATGGACCGGGGTGGGGATCGTCTTTGTTATGTCCAGTTCCCTCAGCGGTTTGAGGGGATTGATCCCAATGATCGTTATGCAAATCACAATACTGTTTTCTTTGATGTGAATATGCGTGCACTGGATGGACTTCAGGGTCCTTTTTATGTGGGCACTGGTTGCCTCTTCCGCCGGACTGCTCTGTATGGTTTTGATCCCCCACGAGCAAAGGACCGCCACCCTGATTGCTGCAGTTGTTGCTTTGGGAGGGGTAAGAGTAAGGCCATTGTTGCTGATGAAACGAGGGGACTTAGAATGGGAGACATTGATGATGAGGATATGGATCTTGCTTTGTTTCCTAAAAGATTTGGAAACTCTAGTGTCCTCATTGATTCAATCCCGGTGGCTGAATTCCAAGGTAGACCGCTCGCTGATCATCCTTCTGTAAAGTATGGACGACCTCCCGGTGCACTAACTATTCCAAGAGAACTTCTTGATGCTTCCACTGTTGCTGAAGCAGTCAGTGTCATTTCGTGTTGGTATGAAGACAAAACTGAATGGGGCAATCGAGTTGGATGGATTTACGGATCTGTTACTGAAGATGTGGTAACAGGATACAGGATGCATAATAGAGGTTGGAAATCGATATACTGTGTGACAAAAAGAGATGCATTCCGTGGCACTGCACCAATCAATCTCACTGATAGGCTTCACCAAGTCCTACGATGGGCTACTGGTTCCGTTGAGATCTTCTTCTCACGCAATAACGCCTTTCTTGCTAGTCCAAAGATGAAAATTTTACAACGGATTGCTTACCTCAACGTTGGCATCTACCCGTTCACTTCAATATTCCTGATTGTCTACTGCTTCCTCCCAGCACTCTCACTTTTCTCCGGTCAATTCATTGTTCAGAGCCTTAATGTCACATTTCTCGTGTACCTCCTTGTCATCTCATTAACTCTCTGCATTCTAGCTTTGCTCGAGATCAAGTGGTCTGGCATTGCTTTGGAAGATTGGTGGCGTAATGAGCAGTTTTGGTTAATCGGAGGCACGAGTGCACATCTTGCAGCTGTGTTTCAAGGTCTACTAAAAGTGGTTGCTGGCATTGAAATCTCATTCACTCTGACATCAAAATCATCCGGTGATGAAAATGACGATGCATTTGCTGATCTCTACGTCATCAAATGGACATCATTGATGATTCCTCCTATAACAATCATGATGGTTAACTTAGTTGCGATAGCAGTTGGCTTCAGCAGAACTATATACAGCACAATACCACAATGGAGCCGTCTGTTAGGAGGCGTTTTCTTCAGCTTTTGGGTGTTGGCTCATCTCTATCCTTTCGCGAAAGGACTTATGGGACGAAGAGGAAGAACACCAACCATCGTGTTCGTTTGGTCCGGGCTCATTGCCATCACCATTTCCCTCCTTTGGGTTGCAATTAACCCTCCTGCAGGTAACACTGAAATTGGAGGTTCATTTCAGTTCCCTTAACAACTTTTCTATGATGGCATAGTAACAAACTATGAAGGTACATACGAACTTTCATCGAATACAGTTTTCTGCAGAATTCTATATGTATCTATGAGATCGAGTATGGAATTTTGTTTGCTCAATTAGACTTATTCCACAATGAATTTCAAAATTATTCTTTTAGTTATCTTTTCTTGATTTCTATTCTTTGATATGTGGAGAAAAGTGGACAAAGGGAATTGATTGTTATGTAATCAGAACCTCAAATTACAGTAGTGAAATTGATTCTTTTTAATTATCCTTTGTATACTTTTTTTTGGTTTATTTGAAGTTTTTCGAATCTACGTAAACTTTATGTGAAATGCTTGTCAGAGAGAGTCAAAGTAAACAAACGTGACCACTATATGTTATTCACATTTTTAAATGGTACTCCCTCTGGCTCCTAATCGAAAGTCAACATCTACTGTATAATCCTAAAAAATTATTTTAACCATGTATTAATAATATAATTTTCCGTCGAAGGGGGTTCGGATGGACCCCCTAACTAAGGTGGCTCCGCATCCTTCCGTCCTATTCTATGTGGCACTTTTTAGATTTTAAGATTTAAACAAGTCTATTTTTTACCGTAATTTTTCCATAAATCTTTCAAACATTTTGAACTGTCAATTATTGTGACTTATAATACTTTTTACGTAGTTTACAAATATATAAATTTCATTTCAAAAAAATTGAAGATTCCATGCACAAGTTCCTGTTCAAACTTAAATTATTTGACTCTCGAAAAACAAAAAATGACATAAATTGAGATAGAGGGAGTAATAAATGTCATTAACAACATTTGACCAAACAGCTAGAATAAATTGCAAATATGTTGCCAAATACAAAATTGTTGAGTGGAAAATGTTGTCATTAAGGCAATGAAATATTTTAGTCAAATCATTTGAATGTTGCCATTAATGAAATACATAATTAAATTTTTTGACCAAATTAATAGCACTTGAAAACTGCCATATAAAACTATTGATTATAAAATTAATTCTTTTGATCATTCGTCCTAATTGACCATTTTGTGTCTTACGTGTAACATATCACGTAGAACACATGTATTTACATGTTCAATTTTATACAAATTTAAATGTCTACTTGTATACTCCAACATTGGAAAGCGTAGATACCGACTAAAGCAAAGTTAAAATGGCTCTGTATTATGTCAATATGAGAAATACTACTAAAGGGTTTATCTACATTTAAGCTCATATCATCAACATCATGCTGAATACATTGTATCAATACTTGTTAATATTGTTGTACCTAATGACAGGATGAATTCAAATACAACCAAAATCCACAATAATCATACAAACATCTATGGAGCATAGCAAAAGAAACTTTCTTCACTCCTGTCACCTTACTCAATATTAGTAAATACAAATTTGAGAATTTTTTTAGGAACACCTCCCTGCTGGATACAAAATAATGCGACGATCACATTCTCTACATATCATCCAGGTTTCTCGACCATAAAAGATTGGCCCGACAGAGAAACGATGGACTACGTTAGGCATATTACAGATCCTGATACTAAAAAAGGTGAGCTTTTCGCGAATTATAAACTACCTTAAATTAAACCTTTTCTTTTACAAAGTTTGTTAGGTTAAACTCCTAATCATCAATCCACATAAATGCAGCTAGTACTTCATTGACCACCCTACTGGGACTCGGTTTGTGAAGAATGCTGGGCATTTTTGCCTGGAAGATGGTCCTCTCGACCAGTTCTTGGATCATCTTCCCCCGGAACTTCCCCAAGCCTCTCCTGCAAAATCAAATCCGATGACTCATAGCATTAGAAAAGAACCCTATAACAACTAGGCCTCAATTTCAAACAAGTTGGTGTTGGCTAAATGAATCTTTACTGGCCAAGTCGCTCCATTTAAGCTCATCTCCGTCTGATATATTATATAAATCCTCATTCTTTTCTATACTCATAATGCTATTTTATAAAAAACAAGACAGAAAGAAGAGAAGTTGGAAAAAAGAAAAACAAACTTCAACAATTAAAGGGTAATAAGACACACAACTTCTTAAAGAATTTCAGAGACTCCCCCAGATTGGTTTCGTAATACTAAGCTCCTTTTTAGTTTACAATATTACATTTTGCTCCCTTGTTTTAATTTCTTTGTAATAATTCTTAACCTATCCATAATAAATGTAAAAGTATTGTGCTTGACCAGTTTGCCTTTTTTAAATAAATCTTCCGTTAATTAATTCTTTGAACATCTTTTTTTCTTCTTAAATTCGTTTAGAATAAATAACATAAAGGTTATCTCTGAGTTGCTGCTTCTTCATCCAACAATGAATAGATACTATTCACTTGAATACAACACTGATGCGATCCCTTCTAATGATACCATCCACTGTCATACTTATTGGTGCAGAACGCAAGTTGCATCCTTCAACGAATATATTCCGATGTCTCAATCAGGAGTACTAGGGATCTTTAATAGGGTGTTTAATGTTCATGTACCAGACAACATGAGCTATCGTCTTTCAGAAAGTGGAACTATCGTAGCCAACACTTACTGTCGCCAATGTGGAAAGATGATAGGGTGGAAATTTATTACAGTCCAAGAACCGGACATGTATGTTAGAGAAGGAAAATTCTGTATGAGACTGGACAAGCTTACTTTTTCGAATCACATACCGTTGCTTCGTTCAATTGAGGAAAAAAAATTCCAAGCTAATGAGGGAAATGCTGATCAAGATGGAGACTCTACTGATCAAGACGGAGACACAACTGATCAAGATGGAGACCCAGCTGATCAAGATTTAGCCACTAATGAGCAAAATGCTGATCAAGATGGAGACGCTAATGAATAGGTTCTTAAAGAACAAGAAGTGGGCGCTACTGAGCAAAATGTTAATCAAGATGGAGGCGCTAATGAGCAAAATGCTGATCAACATGGAGGCGATAATCAACAGAATCATGATCAAGACGGAGGCGCTCCAATGAACTGAATGAAGATGTAGAGCAACTAGGTGATGGACCAACTAATGAAGAAAATGAAGACATTGATACTCTGCTTATACAAAATGCTATAATTCATAATTATGTGATATTCTATTTTGAGATTGCACTACATATTATTACTTCAGGTTGGAATAAACCAATTTGAGACTACCGTTCTGTATATCATCATGTAGAGTCCTATTTGGCATGAGTAATGAGTTTTCCTTCACCACAGTACGTCTATTCTGAAGATGTAAGCCTCTCAAGTATCAACAAAAGGATCTTGACTTCTTATAAAAAACAAACAATAAACGTAAAGGCAATTATTGTGGTATTCTAAACGGAGAAGGACTGGAAATGGGTGATGAGTAGAAAATTGATCAAAATCGTGATGGGCAGCTATCATAGAAGTATCAAAACCAATACCCCTCAGAGTCAAATCCATGACAGAAGTTTTATGCACAAATGGATTTTAATCATTTCTTATATTTTTATTTCTGTGATATGCCTGATGTTGTTTATGGAAGAGATGTATAGGGAAAGGGACAGCGGACAGCAACAACACATTCATACAGGATTAATTGAACTGGAAGAAGGTTTGATTATAACCCCTGAGGCCTCATAAGCATGACATATAATGTCATGTAGTCAGTCAAGGAATCATCAACATCCACTCGAATATCCATGATTTCAAGGACAAACACAAAACCAATAGCAACAGGAACAAACAACCTTTGTAATTTTAGTTTAGCAGAAGAGAAGATATTCATTTAAGGATTATTTTCAATCAAATTTCTACCATTTCCTTCTCATTTTTATTCTAAAGGAATTTAAGAAAAAAAATATGTTTACAAAATTAATTAAACAGAGGTGTATAATGAAAATGATTAGTTAGTCAACTCACAACTTTTTATACATTACTTATAAATAGGATAAAAGAATTGTTATAAAGAAATCAAAACAAGGAAGGAAAACGAAATATTGTAAACTACAAGGATGGTTAGTTTATGCAGTCAAACCTTGAGGGAGGTCTTTAAAATTATCCCTATTAAGGGTAGAGGAAAATACCTTAAGAGATGCATTCTGAGCAAGAAGATGCTCGTACTCACTCCTGATACGATTCACTTCAGCTCTAAGAGAGGCATTTTCTTCCTTCAAAACTTCAGCACGCTGTGCAAGTTCATCACACTCTGCCTGGTTCCCAAAGACAAAGTGGAGTCAGGGTTGATCAACATTAACAAAGGAAACCACTGAAGGATAATTTATACCTGCTTTCTTAACCTAGATCGACGAGCAGATTCCCTGTTAGACTGCTTTCTTTTCTGCCTCTTAAGCTCCCTTTCATCCTGAACTCGATTGAAAAGAAAAGATCATCAATGACAATGCATTAAAACATCCAGAAAGAGAAGAAACACCAAGTTAAAAGAGATACATCCTCATTTGGAAAGGAAGAAAAACATTAGTTTGACAGAAATGACATCAGAAAAATCAGATGATCTGCTAATATGTGCAGTCCCCCTTTCAAAACATACAAGACTGGTAGGTGCTCAGCACTATGTGTACAGCAAGGGTTACACCTCATTAGAAGCCTATTTACTCTGCAACTTAGACAAAAAATGGAATTTTGATGCTGGGATCTTTGGTGGAAACATGTATTATTTAGTAGATAGTACCAAGACTTGTTTTTGTTCACCATATAATGGCGGAAGCAAAATACGTAATAAAATTCATGGAAATCTTGGCCCCTGGTTTTCTCTTCCAACTCTGTATCCTAACTCAGTACAAACAATCCCAGGCAAATATGTCTGCATTAATATTAAGGCATTAGTGATAACAAAATAAATACAGTGCAAATAAAACGATCCCAGAAGTTTGCTTTGATGCCTATATTGAACATTAAGTCCATTCTTCTCTCATGTAACCAGAACGCATGCTCTTTACATGTGTTTTATTTGGCTGTACATCACAGAATATTTACATGTGTCAATTCAGCTACAAGATACTTGTTTTCACAATTCAATGTACAGAATCTGATACACCGAGTGCTAAATCACAATAATGAATAAAAATTTCTTAACAAATGGAGACACCAAAAGGATACCTGAATCCACATCTGTGATTGGACGCTATCTCGCGATCCAGCAGTAACTAACCCTCCAGCAACTGAAACAGGTACCTTTCCATGCATTGCAGGAATAGACGATGAAGTGGCAGCACCCCAGTAATCCATACCAATATTCAAGTTGGTAGTGGGGCCAGGAATACCTCCAGCCCCAGCAGCTGACACGATAGCCATAGTTTGGTTAATCATCGAATGAGGAGTACCAGTCCCTCCATTCTGGGAACCATGCGCAGCATCGCCATTTTGAGATGTGTCAGCTGTAGCAAAGACAACATAGTACTTTTCTGTCAACTATGTTCATTGCCAAAATAGTAATCAGATATTCAAAGCAAATTCACATCACCAGACCTGAATCCTGCCTGCCTCCTGAATTCATTGGTGACTCCTAAGCAAAATCAAGACGACAAATAATCAGATGTAGTATAAATAGAGAGGTATTTTTCTTTCCACTCCTGTTTTCTTTCCATTGGAATTAGAATCAGTCATCAACCACACCCTAATTAAATTGACTGCAGATACATTCTCCCACTGAAAAATAGAATAGCTCGGCTAATACCCTGGTATTTAATCTTCATTGAAATTAATTGCAATCAGGCACAGATTACAACTTTAATTAAGTTCCTCTCTCCTATCTTCTCTTCCCAGTCCACTCATAATTGGTATTTTATACCCTTTGAAACTTAAGTACAACTACTACTAAACTTAGGCATTCTTGGGCTGTGGTTGGGGAGAAGTGATAGGGGTTGGCTGGGAGTTGGGGTTTTCAGGAGTGTGTTTTTAAAGTTCATTTTAGCTTTCTTTTATTTTTCAAAATTTTCTAACAAAACAAAGAACGGGCTGATAAAAAAACTAAAATACTAATATAATCAAAGAAGGATTCATATCATTATAAATACAGAGATATTAGAATTTTTCCTCACTCAAAAGTTTTAATTCTTTTCGAAAACAATCAACATAATTACCACCTATTTAAGAGATATTTGTCGCTCTAATTAATAGGTTGGTACTTCGATCTTCGTCTCACTAAATCTAATATGATTCCATCTTTGAGAAGGTAACCATAGTTAATTAATTTAAAGCTGAAAATTTAGCTTCTTTCATTTCTCTCTGTGAAGATTTTGGTGCTTATTATAAGATTGCATCTTCTCGTGCTAACATATTTTGATGAGTTCAATTATATGTCTCAATCAACTTTGAGTTTCAATTAACTTAACCTAAGTTATTTCCCTTACTTATTTTTCACTCCCTTCTATAGTGTGAATTATTCAACTTTAGATATATATCTCAACCGACTATGCCCTTCAACTGGAGAAGCAAGAGGGATTCATACAACAACAAATAGAGCAATGAATTTGCACCATTTACTAAGGTTTTGGACTTCTTCCCTTGGATATTTAGTGCATTTTAATTAATAGGGCAGTTGAAATATTGAGAACAATATATTGTTTTTATCTTTTTTTTGTGTTGATATTGATTAGGATTATGCACTTGGACATCTATTTGAGTAGTTCTTTTACCATATCTTATCATAAACTTTATGATATCTCTATCAGCTTGTTTCGTCTTCTAACACTTCTTGTACAGAAATCTTAGCTCCAACTTAGCTCCATATGCATGGGGAAGCCTTCGTTGTTTTCCAACCAAAACAGGTCATTATTTACATCAGTCATATCACATGTGTGTTTATTTGCATCTTTTTTTCCTTTTGACATCTATTATGTATTTCAACAAAAAATAAAAATTCAATTTCCTAATGAAATTAGATTCCTTCCACAATTATCCTATAAAACATGGTGATGAGTTTATTTTTAGTCTATTTTCTCCTCTAACTGAACAATAAATAACTTAATGCTTTGGAAGAGAACACCAAACGCATGTTGTGTTTGGCTTTGGTATCAACGGGATACCGCCCACCTCCTACCAGCAACAGGTACTAGGGTCTCCACCAAGGCTAGGACAGATGGAAGAAATCCCCTAGTGTTTTTTTGTCTCTTCATTGACCACTACGCCATACCCTTGGGTTTGGTTTTGATATTTATTTGCAAGTTAAATAAATAAATATTTTAAATTATGTATTCTGTTAAAAGCTTATTCGTTTTAGATCTAAATTTATAATAATTCTGGGGCTACACATGCGAGGGACGTATATATATATATATATATATATATATACATATACACACATGCACATAACTATGACTTCATTGAAAATTGTATAAAGCACATACAAGGCTGAAGCGAATTCTTTAAGATGGAAATTAATTTACAAATATTATACTTTCCATAAACAGGAAATAAGAACTATACTCTATCATATAATTATTGAAATAAACCAAATACATCATACAATACCCACATTTTGAGAATGAGCATCACTTCCTTCACTTGACCCTTCACTTCCACTCTCGGCACTGCAAGTCCAACATTGGCAAAGGTCTTAAGCCTCATGAACTGATACAGGTGGTATTTAAGCGTGACAACTTTAAAAAATTTAAGTAGAAACACATTCTCATGTGAATAGAAAATATAATTATTAGAAACAACATAATTAACTATCTGATATTGTGAAATATTATTGTACTCAACCCAACCAATAAGTATATATTCCTGGACAGCAAGTATCTTGCCCAGAAAAAGCTTAAAACATATTGGTGGACCATTAGGAAGGAAAAGAATCTGGGATGCTCTGAAGACAAGGATAGTCGTAGTCCATTGAGAAGATTAAGATGAACTCCCCTATTGTTATTTCATTTTTGGTGTAAAGAAGAATTCCCATTGCCTACAGAATCTATCCTAGAGATTTTGAATCTTTGTAAGTTGTATAGGACAGCAATTTGTCAGTTTCCTCTTCTGTATAAATGGTATTTGCACAGCCATTTGTGCACTAGCATATAAAATCATCTCCAAAAATAAAAGACTAATCAAAACAGTATTTGTTGTCTTGACCATAGATGGAAGGGCGTCGAAGGACATGGATTAAGGTAGAAGATTAGTAGGTAGCAGTGTGTTGTCTTGCAGTCCGTTCACATCAGTTGTCATAGTATTGCTCCGGTAGGTATTGTTTTGTTGTAGATTTTGTATTGTTTTGTTGTTTTCGTCACTATCTGTTGTTCTTGTACTTCTTTTTCCTGAACTGCTTTGGACTATTTTTCCTTGAGCAGAAGTTCTATAGGAAACAACCTCTTAACCTCTAAGGTAGGGTAAGGCTTGCATACACTCTACCTTCCCTAGACCTCACTTTGTGAGACTACACTGGGTATGCTGTTGTTGTATCAAAACAGTATGTACCAGAAAACAGTGCATGAGGAGAAGATCTCTCCAACCCAATCAGAACCATACTCTTATCTAACAACTTGTTTATAACACTGATTATCCCAAACAAATCTTAAGGCAGTCACGAAGTGCCAACAGTAAGCTAGACTAGGAAAAAAGGAGCATGACTTGCAAAGTTACAGTCATCAAAGGACTAGAATCCACTCAATGGGAAATGCACACTGAGCTGGCCACACAAAACAAAGAAGTCTCATTTGGCTTGGTTAACATTATTCAATTTATAAAAGTTACAGCAAGAAGTTGAGCTAATTTTATTTTTTTGAGAAGTTACCAATTTGTATTTATTTATCAATACATCACCTACGTTGTGCTGAAACCATATTTACAAGTGAAAAAGAAGAACAAACTGCTTCATCAGCCTAACAAAGAAACAAGGGTGTCGATCATTGAAGCAGTATCTTCATGAGCTAATGTTGATTGAGCAGAAAAAACAATAAGGCAATTGGGTCGTACGTGCCCATTTAATAACCAATCTTTTGCTTATACTTATATTTCAATATCCCGAGACTTTCATATTATGCACTGTTGTTGGTTAACATCAAAGTCACTGGTCAGTTATTGAGCAAGGGTAATAGAGATCCTAGATAATGATCTCTCTAATTTTATCCTCTTTCTTGCCACAACTATGCAGAACTACCATGTCTAGAAAGTTTAAGATACTTTTGGAGTGTCACTGAAGGTGAGAAGAATGGTGATAATCTTCTGTTCCATGAAGCATATCATTCTTTCTATCTTCATGGCTAAGTTGCTCGGACTCTTCACTTCCAATGTTGCACCAGTGTTGACACTACATGGGTGTGAGTTTGGGATCTGTACCCAATTTGGTCAACCAATTTTGGGTACCACTACCAAAATTGACAGAGAAATTCCAGACAGATTCAATGATATTTGTAATTAAAACCAAAGCTAAGGTGAAACTGGAAATAATTGAATACATTGTGTATAGTAATTACTATGTCACTCCTTTTCCTTTTATCTCCTTTCAGGATTCTCCTCCAATCAATATTTCTCCTCAAGTTTTCCACAAAATATCATATAATTTCGGTTTTACAACTCTATTTGTAGATATTTGAATTATTTTTCGTTGAATCTCCGCACTCATATCAATACCTGGATCCATATCCCCAAATCTTAAAATTTAGATCCACACCCGTATCGTAACCCCGCACCCGAGTCCAAGCAACTTAGCTTCATGTTCTGGAGTTCTTCCTCCAACTACAAACCAGTCACACCCACATCTTTCTTTATGATCACATGAAACATTCAGTTGAGAGAGCACGATACCTTTTAGAATAGACTCCATTTGCAGATGCTCCAGGTGTCTTACCAGGTCCGTTATTCTTCCCAGTGATCATATTCAAACTACCCAAGCTTCCCCTAGATCTCTTAATCGGCAATTTTTCCTTTCCCTCAGATGACTTACCATCCACTTCAACATTACCAGAGTTATTAACCTGCACAAGAAAAAATGAACAAAGCAGTATAAGAACAGGATACTTAAAGCATAGATTACATGGACAACGTTGTTTAGCACATTCAGCATAGATACTCACTGAAGCTTCAGCGACGCCATTTGGAGAAGGCATTGCAAAAGGACTGAAGGGGTAAGATCCCTGATCAATTAGGAAAATATCCATTTCTGGTTAGCAAAATAAAAAATGAGATGCATAGAGTAAGACATAGGACTCGGGCTACAAGATTATACCGGAGCAATAGTTGGATGAGCATATATACCACCATGGGGATACATTGCAACGTATGGATGTGGTGGAGTACCATAGGGTGGCATAAATTGCTGAAATAACAGCCAGCATAAATTGTTAAAGATAGATGACAGCAACTTGTCAGAGTAGAATATTCGCGAGTAAAAATAGAACCAAAAACTAGACCAAGGCAATATAAACCACAAAAAAATTGCTGATTAGAAATAATTCTTAAAACAAAAAAACAATATTTTGGTACTATTATCCATATCAGAATTATCTGTGCACTTTAACAAACCATGGAGATGAAGTCAAAAATAAATCAGCAAATTATTGTACAGAAATATGCTAAACTTATTCATATAGATTTCAGAAGGAAAATTGAGAAACTTCAACGAGGACTTGAAATGAAAGCCTCAATTGCTTTTGTTCTTAGTAATGCAATATGCAATATTGCAGTCTGGAACAAATTTGTTTTCTTCTGTTAGTTAACCATATTAACATTTCAGAAACAGTGGAGACTACACAAAGAACCATTTGAGCGAGACTATACCAAGTCTCCTTGTTTTCTTGATAATTTGGGACCAGGACACTGTACTAAAATCAAATTAATCTTTACTCTTATCACTAACAGGGAAGATGAAACCCCAAGAACAAATTACCTATGTTGCTTGCAGTGGCGGACGCAGGAATTTCATTCAGGGGGTTCGAATATAAGAAGTAAATTTACGAAAAGGTTGATTAAAAGGAGCGTAGTGGTGAAAGACAAGATCATTTTAACTCGTTTTGTCATGTTTCATTTAACATTTCCTCCTACTTATGTCTTGCTTCATCGAGCCTTTTTAAAATCTATTGTGCTTTTAGGAAAACAAATACAGTAGATATTTTTGAGTTGTGGCAAAACTTCTTTTCAAAAGCTGAAAACATAACTTTCTCCAAAAGCACTACTAAAAATTTTGGCCAAGCACAAATTTGATCTCTAATATTGATGAGAAAAAAATTTGAATTTATTAGTCAAACATGAAATGTTAATCTACAAAATAATTTTTTTTTGAATAAAAGGTACTCCTCGTAATAACAAATTATATAAATTCTACCAATCCCCTATTAATTTTGTTGTTTTAACGTTTTAAATATATTTATTACTAGGAGCCTATTCTTATTCTATATCCTTCGTAAAATGATATAGAATTTTTTACAAAATTTATATAAATATTATTTATGAAAAAAATCAAATGTTATATTAATTAATACTCCCTCTGTCCCAATTTATGTAACATTTTTCATTTTCTGAGAGTCAAATAGTTTAAGTTTGACCGAATATTTGCGCATAGAATTTTCAAATTTTTAAAAATGAAATTTATATATTTATAAACTACGTAAAAATACTATTAGTCAAAATAATTTTAAAAAATCAAAATATTTAAAAGATATATGAAAAATATACGGTCAAAGATAGACTTGTTTGAATCTTGAAATTCAAAAATGTCATCAAACTTCAACACAATTTCGTATAAGCTTTCGTGATTTTAGTATGGATATTAACCTTTGTAAAATCCAAATCAAACAACCTTTTGAAAGTTAATTTGTGGGCTGGGCTTTGGGAAAAGACAAAACTAAAACTTATAGCTAAAAGCTTGGGATGTGGGGAAAGACAAAATTTAAGCTAAAATTAAATAAAAGCGCGACTAGCAAGAATCGAACTTGGAACCTTGGAGTCATTCTGAACCCCCTTGACCACTGGGCTTCGCATCATAGTTGTAATGAGGGGGTTCATTTTAATATTTATACCCATAAATAATAATTTTAACCTTATATATACGATATAATTTTTTAATCGAGGGGGTTTGGGTCCCCCTCCCATCCACCAAGGTCCGCCCCTGGTTGCTCGGACTCTTCAAAAAATGTTTTTGGGTGTGTGTCGGATCATTCAAAAGTAGTATATTTTTTAAGGATCCAACACGGGTGCAATAACATTTCTAGAGAGTCCGAGCAACTTAACAAATTACCATATCATCATAGAACCACAGTCATTATAAACTAATCACTGAAATATAATGAACTTAAATCATCTATTCCTTATTTTAACTCTGGTGGATCAGGGGGTATATAATTGAAGCAAGAAGCATCTTACCTTATTTTAACTCTGGTGGATCAGGGGGTATATAATTGAAGCAAGAAACATCTTACCAAAAGAACCTACTTTACAACTTCACTGCCTGGTATGAATTTCAGTAGTAGAAAAGTAGGCTTATCAAATAGACCTAAGTAATTGAGCTAATAAATAGAAATGCTTAAGTATGAAACTTGCTAAAAGACAAATATCTTTCAAGAAATCGCTATAGCTCAAGCTCATAAGTATCAAAGTTATATCTTAGACAGCTCTATGTGCACCAAGTAAGTGTGATATCTTTAGTTACACACTTTTTCAATAAGAAGCCATGATTAAACTAGCCTTACATTAAGCTAGCAGATCTGATTTTTGAAGGAAACTCAAAACATCACGTGAATCAGAGCCACGCCATAGTGAAACTTGCATACCTGAACTCCCCACATATAAGGGTGCGCTTGAGGACTTGATGCCATAAACCCGTGAGGAGGCATAGGAGAATATGCCTGCATAATGATCATCAACGTCCTTTGATTACCAACAAAGAAAAATCAATAAACAAGACAAAAGGCGGAGAAACTATGCTACAGAGAAACCAAACCTGAAAGCCAGACCAATCTTGATTAACTGGGCCAGCGGTAGTAGTAGAAGTTTGCTCCTAGATAGTATCAAGAAGCAAAACACATTAGTTGGTGGTATGACTCAATCTACTCACACAAAAATACTTGTTCAGGGGAAAATTGATTTTTGTTTTTGATACGAAGTCTCTTTACTGAACACCAAGCCAATGCCAAAAGTATGTGGAAATCGTTTATATGTCTCAAACTGAGTCACCCACAAGCGTCTATCAAATTTACGAGCTACCCATTCAACACAGTATTCTCTCTTAGCACCAACAACAGTTACCTGTGAATTGGGGGGCTTTGACTCTTTTGCTTGCTTCGCCTCTTTTGGGGATTTATCCATCTCACTGCTACCCATGGCTCAACTGTACTACTTCAAAAGTTCCTCAAACCATTCTGTCATGCACATAGACCCATATAAATCAAGAATCAGTTTTAATCACTTTCTAACTGACAAAAAATCTACACTGAAATTGTCAAAAGTAACAAAATAGACCAAAAGCACCACAGACCAACGGCTCTATCAAGCTGTCAAACATCGCCAGATAATTGGACTTAATCAGCAGTATTCACCAACCCAATAGTCCATGCAAACAAATTGCCTGTTAGCTTATTACTATCTCCTAACTTACAAATGAAAACTGAATAAAAAAAAGCATAAAGTTCAAGTCCACATCCCACATACAGAATTTATGATTAATCAATCACAACTACACCTCAATCCCAATCCTCCGACCCATTGGTATCCATTTCGAATACTGGAAAGTGCTCCATCGATGTTAATTTGATTTCACATAGGCAAAGGAAGAAGGTTGCAGTAAGTCCACAACAAGAAAAAGCGACCCAAAACACCCAGTAACCAATTCAACAACAAAAATAAGCTAACACACACAGAAATTAAATTAGTGGTGAATTTAGTTACCAAGAAAATTATACAAAACCAATGTAAATATAGTCCTTTAGATAATGAATCAACATGCAAAATTATGCGAACAAGAATAGAAAGTGACCCAAAACACCCATTAACAACTTCAATAGATTTTGAGTTCATATCTGAACCATCCGGTGTGCTAGTTTCCTACTTGAATTATTACTAACTATTTATCAAAACACATCTCAACTATCAATTGTTCTCATTTCCTACCTACGTACACAATGGTGATATGTCAAGTAGGAAAAAATGTGTTTTTGATAAATAGTTGGTGATAATTCATGTAACTCGCAGCCCTGATAGTAAAATGCATGAAACTCCAAAAAAAGTAATACTTTATGTATATTCTTCACCATTAAATCTAAAATAATTGGTGAATTTAGCTACAGAATTCCGTAAACAAAAAAAAGAATCGACCCAAAACACCCATTAACAAATTCAACAACAAAAATAAGCTAAAAACACAACAGAAATTAAAATAATGACAGGATTCAGCTTACCATGAAAAACTATACAAAGACTGGTGAATCTGAAGAACTGGGTAAGCTTCAGCTGCTATAAAACTCCAATTACAGTCAAACCCAGTTTAAAATTTAGTACCCAGCTATCTGGTTATACCTCAAAATTAGCAAAAAACAATCAAAGATTGAATTTTTCAAGATATATTAGGGATAAAAAACGACAAAAAAATCCCCAAAAATTGAAAAAAATAAAAGAAAAATAGGGATTTGTTTGTGAAATTGTCGATGTTGCTGTTCCGATGATTTGCAAGAACAGAAAGAGAAGAAGAAATTGTGAAGTTTTTCGATTTGCTTTGTGTTTTTGCTGATTGTTTTCGTAGACTAATTTCAACGGTTCAGATTTGTGTTATAAAAAGAACAGGTGGACTATTTTCTTAACAACACAATTAGCATTGTTAGGATGGTGGTTAGTAAAATATTAGACTAATTTGAATAGATTGTAGTATTTCTCGGTTAGTTTTTTTTTTTTTTTTTTTTTTTTTCATTCGGTTATGTATTAGATTCTCAATTAAATTCGAATAGTGCATTATAGGCTCATTTGGAAGATGACGCTCATAACAAATAAAAAATCATATGAATACACAGGGGTTACCTGCAAGGCTGCATATAAAGCTAGTCACAAATAAATCTATGAACCAAATTGTTGCTACTACTACGAGCTTTCCTCTCAGTCTTTAAAAGATTTAGTCTTTCCACTATGTTCTTATTAATATGTAACACAACTGTTTCAATCTCTACATTCAAGTGCTTCAATGTAGTTCAGTTCCTAGCCTTCCAAGTGTAATAAACAATTGCTTCTTTCTAGTTCATTTCAGAACAACTTTCACTTCACCAATTTGAAGTTGTATTCCCAAACACACAGATCAATTATCAATTATTTGATCCTAAGAAATATATTTTTCAAAAATTTGACCGATCAAACATGATAACATTAAACTCCATACCGAATACATCTTAATATCATGCTTATAAATCTATACATATTCTAATAATTAAAAAGTAGAATACATATAGAATTATTTCAACTTTTTAGGAAATTGTTTCTTTTGCTATTGCTTTTGATCGTTGACCTACTGATCCATTGTTGATAGGTGAATAAGAAACTGCAGCAACTAAAAGCTCTCAAAAAAGCAGGGACTCCAAGCTATCAAACTCAACGTAGAGGGTCGTGGCATGGTGAAGTACCTGTAGTGGCATATAACTCATGTATTTATCAAGGTATAATATCATGATGATTCAATTTTATACAGTTATCGTCCATCGTTAAGATGTCTGCTTCTGTGCTGACATCATCTGTGAAATGGCTAATTACAATGCTCACTTTCATTTAGCGATCAATTTTTCAGGTTTGTGCAAACTTTGTATCTTTATGCTAATTTTGTTGTCTAGTGAGAACCAAAAATCAAAAGATAGAAAAGGTAGTTGATATCATTTTAATTTTCATTCCTCATTTGATATGTTTCAACTTTCAAGTTATTGATGTAATCATTGTTTGTTTGCTTCATGTAATACTTTTGATGTTCATATCAAACCAATGACTACTTTGATATTCGTCTTCTATGTACAATTTAGTCAAGGTTAATTATTATGTATTCTTATCTTAGTTTATCACATAATCATGATAAATATTATATAATTTGATATAAACATAAAATCTTGTCGTTCAAAAAAAAATTATGTTATTTTCTATGTATCGCAACAGTGTAAGGTTTCAATAGGCAACATGTACATTTTTCCTTCTATGATTTTTTTTTATAAGATTGGTAAGAAATTACAAAAATTCAAGGAAATTCTAACCTTTTATCAATATTTATACAAAGAGAAGCATAAGGGCATCTCCAACCTTATTCTCTATTTTACTCTCCAAATATATAGTTCTCTATTTTTTCAGATAATCAACTCCAACCCAATTCTCTATTTTACTCCCTAAAAAAGAATATTTTTTTCTCTCTTCAATATTATATTATTATTTCTATTTCATAATATAAATCATTTTTTCTCTTTGACAAATAATCACTCTATAATCTTTATGTAATACAAAATTTCATTTTTTTTTTCAAATTTTTCATTCAATATAAAATTATATTTCAATCTAAATTTCTAAATAGCATAAATTGCAATAAATATTGCATATAATACATATTAACGAACAATTCAAATAAAAGTGAAATCATTGATGAAATATAATTACGTCATCAATATTGTATCATCGTAAAATTTATTTTAAATCAAGACTATTACGTTACTCTCATAAGTGTTCTAATAATGTATTATGGAGTTCAAAATGAGCATTTTTTTGTCCTTATTTTTGTAGGTATAGCTAAAAATTGTTTAAATTAACAATTTCATTTGTATCCAATTATTTCGTATACTAATTTACTTCCCCTATTCCATTTTGAACTATTCCATCAAATATTTTCATGCTCATTAAAAAGTGTAGTTAAATAATTTATCTCTATAACATAAAAGTAGATTGTTTGAATTACCGTGTAAATTTTGTGCATACTTCATAATGAAAAATAATTATAATTTATATTACATATTTAAAAATACAAAAAAATAATAATAATAAATTAAATCTGAAAAATTGTTAATTCGGGATGGAAGTAGTATACTTATCAATAATATGTTTTAGATGTTATATTACTTAGAAAATAATTATAAATATTAAAGACTTAATTAATGATCTTATATAATATAAATAATATTAAATTACATATTTAAAGTGACAACTTTTTAAAAATAAAATAAAATAGAAAAATTATTAATTTGGGTGGAAGTAATAACTGTTAATAATATATTTTTAGATGCTATATTACATTAGAAAATAATTACAAATGATAAAGATTTAATTAGTAATATAATAGAAATAATATTAAAATAATCAAAAACTACTATTCATGTCTCTATGATAAAGATTTGATTATTTTAATATTATTTATATTATATTACTAATTAAGTTTTTATCATTTGTTATTATTTTCTAAAATATAACATCTAAAAATATATTATTAACAAGTTCCTACTTTCACCCAAATTAATAATATTTTTTTTTTAAAAAAAAATTGTCACTTTAAATATGCAATTTAAAGTTATTTTAATATTATTTATATTATATAAGATTATTAATTAAGTCTCTAATATTTGTATTTATTTTCTAAGTAATATAACATCTAAAACATATTATTGATAAGTATACTATTTCCACCCCGAATTAACAATTTTTCTAATTTGATTTTAATTTTTTTTTGTCATTTTAAATATGTAATTAAATTATACTTAATTTTCATTATGAAGTATGGACAAAATTTACATGATAATTCAAACAATCTACTTTTATGTTATAGTGATTAATTATTAAACTACACTTTTTAATGTGCATGAAAATATTTGATGCAATAGTTCAAAATGGAATATGGGAAGTAAATTAGTACACGAACTAATTGGATACTAAGGACAAAATATTGCTCATTTTGAACTCCGTAATACATTAATAGAACAATTATGAGAGTAACGTAATAGTCTTGAAAGTTTAGTATTTATATAAAATTTAAATAAATTTTACGATGATACAATATATATGATGTAATTATATTTCATTAATGATTTCACTTTTATTTGGATTGTTCATTAATATGTATTATATATAATATTATTGCAATTTATGTTATTTAGAAATTTAGATCAAAATATAATTTTATATTAAATGAAGATGAAAAATAATAATTTATATTACATAAAGATTATAGAGGGATTATCTGTAAAAAGAAGAAATGATTTATATTATGAAATAAGAAAATAAAAATGAAATAGAAATAATAATATAATATTGAAGAGAGAGAAAAAAGTTATTTTTTAGGAAGTAAAATAGAAAATTAGGTTGGAGTTGATTGTCTGGAAAAATAGAAAACTCTATATTTGAAGAGTAAAATAGAAGATGGGTTGGAGATG